GTAGAACTTGTTTTTTTCTGTGGTTCTGTTATTTTTAATGTGATGAGCACATGACGATTAACATTTAGGACTGACAGACATAGTGCAGGTCACGAGGATTTTCGTAGGGGATCATATGAACCGTCGTATGATCGTATGTTGTTTAGGGAGTGGAAGCAAACACACACATGTACCGTGTAACCCTAAACCGAGTTGTCACCGTGAAATGTGATGATTGGGATCAATAATCTTGGAGAATCCCATTACATGCTGTGTTTATCTTTATTTTACCCGAAAGCAACCTGTAAAGGCCTACTGTTGATTTTTGTCTTTGGGGATGTTGTTTCTTACCCTTGATTGTTAAACAAAAGATTGATAAAACAAAAAATAATTAGATGTCAACGGTATAAGCGTATTATATCATGGCCATGAACCACCCATTTAGTAATAATATTATATTATATAATTATTTATATTAGGTTATTGCTAATTTAACATTAATACAGTGCAATGATTTTAATCTTGATATTTTTTCAACACACAATACTATACTATACTATACACCATACTATGATTTTTTAACTGCATTTTATTACATATCAGACACAAAATGTTCAACATATTATATTATTCATTTCAACAGGGGTCATTTATAGTCTTATTTTAGAGCTTATTGGCTATAGGAACTATACAATTACATTTTTTGACACTATAATAACATTTTTTAAGTAAAATCCATTCAGATTTAATGAACAACCTATATGTTAATGTTGACCTAAGAACTTAAGAACGTCTCACAAGCTGTCACTAGTCACCCTACTTTGCTTTGTCTATCTTCCCCAGTAGCTGTTAAAAGGGCCTCCCTCACTGCGCTGAATTCATAACATCACTCGTCTGAATCATTAGTGCGTCTGCTTTTCAGGATGCCCGCTGCGTAAACTTTGTTGGTGCGGATTCCAGAGCCACGGTGGCAGTTTGTGGAAAAGATAGAGTCACTTAAGACATGCAGCCTATATTCCCTTTTAAAGAGCAAAGTCCGAATAACATCTCAACAAGTGAACAATTTCAAGCTTTCCTAACTTACTTAATTAAAGTTCCACTGCATGTATGATATATGGATCGAACTAAATTATCAGGGATTTAAAAACACAGCACTAACAATTGTAACCATGTCAATCAAAACAATTAATCAAAAATAGGCAGCGCCTCTTATGGGATCCCACGGAGAACAGATAAGGATGTTCTATCTCTTAAGTGCAATTAGGAAGCACAATAGGAACATCCTCCTCCACATTGAGGTGAAGAGTTACACCACCCCCCCACCGCCCCCCTGGGAGAATCTGCTGCGGTCAAAAACAAGCAAGATAGCGCCGCAAAATAGATACACCGGGGCAAGCCATGATGTCAGAGAGAGAGAGAGGGGGGCCGATGTGTGTAGTAAAAATAGGACAAAAAAACATTTGGGGCATGTGAGCTTAAATATTGACTCTCTAATTTGAGTAAAACATTCCCACGTGCAACTACACACATGGGGAGTTTGGTGAAATGCATATAGTTTTGAAAGACATTTTCGAAATCCCCTTTTTTTTCCCCCGTGCACCTTGCAGCACAGCGCGAGCTCTGCCGTCTGTGCCGATTCGGTAATCAGCCCGTGCTTATGGGGGTAAATGGAAATCTAGCCTTCTCCTTCCCCGGGCTGGCAGCCATGTGCTGGCCTCCCTCCGTGCGTTTCGCTGGTAGCGTGTATCTGCTCGGAACAGGTGCCGGATCCCGTTCGGCTGCAGCATTCACGGCACAGGTACGGGTGGGAGGCCCTTGGCTGCTCGCACAGTCCCCAAAGTTTTCCAGGGGTCCCCATCTGTGTCCCCCCGCACATCCTCTGCCACATGGCACCCGTCCCTCGACGGGTCTGGTCCATTCTTCGTCGGGCGACGTACACGCCTGCCTGCCACCCCACACTCCGCCTGTTGTTGAGCCACAATGAGATGAAGAATAGCTGCACCCATAATCCCTTGCCGTGAGACGTGTGTGCGTGTGTGTGTGTGTGTTTTTTCCCTCCTCCTTCTAGATTTGGGGCCAAGAACAAATTGTAAACAGGTTATTATGCTGCTGTGACACACTCCAACTGGAAATGCACTCCGACAACATTCGGTGTTTACTGATGTGAGTGTGTCTTTATCCATCGCATAGAAAATTTTAATTTGGTGGAAAGTTCACTGCATTTACTGTGATGAGGGTGTTGTCATGGGTGTGTTGTTTGCAATTCGAAAAGCTTTACAGGCAAGCATGATCCTCCCCTTAGACTCACTCGGAGCGGTAATGATGCTTCATATAATTGCAAATAATTACTTAAAATGTACGACTGCATACATTAGATGTCTTCGCGCAGCATCAACACAATGCGTACGGCAACTAGGTGTGAATGGCATTCTCAGTCTCAAGCGTCGCTTCTCACCTGAACCTAAACGAAACAAAATTCCCTCCCCGCCCACAGTTCATACACCAATTAACGTCATGTGGCACAAACGTGACGGCATGGGACGCTCCCTCGGCCGGCTGCACAATGGATGCTGGACCAACCAGACAGTCGGCCTCCTCCTCGCCTCCGGAGGACGTGATTGTTTGAAGTGATCACTGATCACCCCCCCATCCAGCAGATGGATAATCCTTTACGCAGCTGTGGAAGCCATGAGGCCCGTCCACGCACGCAGAGCCTCGCGCTGTTACCTTGACAGTTGGTGTTGAGTCGGACCGCCGAGTTGTTTGTTTGCCCGGGGAAGTGACATGACGGCAGGGGAGGAAATAGGAAGCATAACAGACTACCTGACAGACTCATTCCACAGGCTTGACCTGAGATTGGAACTGAGCCAGTCAGCAATCAGAGAGAAATAACAAGAGGGGGAGTTTTGTTGGTTTAGCCCATATCCTGGTATATGCAAATATTGTAAATCTTTTTTGTCAAATGAATGGATCACGCTCTCCCTTCTCACAGAAAAAGGGGGCTTTAAAGAGCAAGTGCCTCTACATAGAATGCATGCAGTTCACACAATGTTTGTTGACACTTCATTTTCCTTTCTTGTTGATTTATTGCAGATAAAACAGCAGCAATGGCTTTCTCTGGTTTTCAGCAAAAGCCTCTGACTAAAGGTTAAGATGACGATGAGTCAACTTCTAAGCAGGAAAGGATTGAGTGTTTTGCCCTGACTTTCCGGAATGTTGAAGTCACAGGATCAACACGTCATTGTAAAAGCTCCTGGGGGCTTTATTGAAATACATATTGGTATTGATACATTTAAATATTAGTACAGTATGTACATACACAGATATCTATGGCAGCCGGTGGAAATTTCCATTTTAAAAATTGTACCTCATAAATTTAGAAAATGTTTCTGCTCCTCCACTGGCTGAATAAACTATTAGAAGAATCAGCATTTAGATTATCTGATAAATCCGTTGTTACCCAAATGAAAACAGGGTTGTAGTTGTTAGTTAATCTTGCCTGGATTTTTGTTCCTTACCTGAAACTATGGAATATTTCTTTGCGGTTTTCTGAGTCATTCAGACGGGAAACGTGCTGAAAGGGAATAACGCGACAACAAAGCACGGCTTTATTCTGCAATTTTTCGGCCTTCCTGTGAGTCCGTGTGCGATGATGCATTGTTGACGCCTTGTCCTTGTTCCTGTTACAGCGTCCTACCCTGAGGTGGTGCATGGGTGACTGTTGGGATATCGCGTCTCTGGGCCCGATGGCGCACCGACGATTACTCCCCGACCTGGATGCCTGGGGCCCCAGCCGGCCAGCTCCCACGTCCAAAATATGTGCCCCCCCCCGCAGGCACAAAGGGTAATGTTCTAACCCCGAAGAAATGAACACGACATCAGCCAGACGCAGACACGTGGTGTTTGATGAATGTTGTCATTCTGGGTCAGTTTGACTACAAGGTGTGTCGAAAGCACACATCCGGGCGTTGGATTGGGTTACGTGTGTTTCCTACAACGCCGTTCTCTGGTCTCAGAGTCAGAAACTTTGATTTCTTTAGTTTTTTTGTGTGGTATGTGCGCGGTAAACGGCACGACAGAACAGGTCGCGACAAAGCCTCTGGTGAGAAAAAAATGGCGGCGGGCAGAAGACGCGTTAGCGAGATGCTAATCAGCGCGGCGGCGTTCCCTTCCCTCTCTCTGGCTCTTTAATGCAAGGCCCAGCCAGGCCCAAACATCCTGACGCAGAGAGGCTTTTCCCTTATCAGTCAGGAAACACCGCTCCTCCGCCACATCCTCTCCACGAAAAGCACGACTCAACCGTTCCCAAAAAAAAATTCAAAAAACGCAGGAAGACCAGCCAGACTCCAGGATTTGTCAAAGCCCCCTGAATTCCTCTCTTATCGAAAAAGAAAAATTCAAGAGAACAGAGAGGGGGTGAGAGGGGGGAGAGGGTGGGGGGGTAGAAAAAAAGAAAAATGAGGAGGGTGTAAAACAGTCAAAGAAGCCCTGGGATTTATTATTTTATTTATTCTGCACAGATTACGAAAGGTCTGCATCAGCAAGATAGAACGCGCGTGAGGGGATGGGGGGTGGGGAGGGGGGGGGAGGGGGAGTGGGGGTCCGGAGTGCCTAAGAATGGCACCCAGAATAAGACTCCAGGAAAAACAAAGGACGGTGGAGATTCAGGCGGGTGGCGACGGCTACGCCTTTTTTACACTAATCCTCTGTGGCGGGATGGAATGAATGCGAGAGGAGACGGATGGAGGAGGATGATGTGATGGAGGGTGGAAAAAGCGAGGAGGGGGTAGGGTGGTGTGGGGGGGGGGGGTATCGGAATGGGCCACGAGAGCGCGAGAGAATACGTGGCGCCACACGGAATTCAAAAAAATCATCCCCCCCCCCAATTTGTGTGTGAAAACCGGCAACTGACTACTGCTCTTTCTTTTATTGTTACTTGAGCTGTATATTTATTAATAAGGGTGGAAACATTTCATCTGTTGTGTAGTTATTCTGTGTATGCACATCATCCAAGTAGCAACTTTGTTATATAAAAATGTTACTTTATTTTAAATTATTGTCTTTCACAAACTTAAATCAGCATACATTTATAGTTACCATTATTATTTTCCATGGTAGAGGTTATGATTATATATTATTAAGTACTTGAGAAGAAGTATAAACGCCTTTTTTCTTCATTATACACCGGTTTGTTAAATTGCATAAGAAATGTCCAACTAAAACCTCATTCAATTTCAACTACTGAGGTAAGACTCCCAAACTAATGAGAGAGAGCGAGAGAGAGAACATATAGTACAAACATGTGAATGGAAAGCGTCGATAATATCATTACAGTTAGCATTTATGCGAAACATCAAAGGACTTAAATTAGCTTCTAAAGAGCATCTGTACATCAGCAACAGTAACTGGTGACATTTACAAGTGGACACCAAGTCTTTACGATTGTTCTTCTGGTTTGGAAACGTCATGACAACCGGAGGTGGCGTACTGTCGTGTTCTTGTGTCTGCATCCCTGAGGCGTCCATCTCCCGTTCTCCGCGTTCCTCCGACCCTCTTTGTTCTTTCCTCGGCTCCGGACAATCATTTTGCTCAGTAATCAGTTCAGGCTCCAAATCACGGTGGGATGACATTGCTCAGATGTTCTAACACGGGACTTGAAATTTACAGAACATCAAAGCACGGACCAGGTGCAGCGTCACCCCAATGGCCCATTTTGAACCCCCCCCCCCCCGGGCCGCCGGGTGCTTACGAGATGCCGTAGTTGTTGTTGTAGTAGGCCGCTGTTGCGTCCGCGAGCACCGATATGAGGCTGGTTTCTGTGGGGCTGCTGGGACACGCGGAGGCGGCGGACGCGGCCACCTGGATGTGTCCCGTGACAGTCATGCCGCTGCCCTGCTGCTCGGGGTGGAACCCGGCCCCGGTGGAGTTCAGGTACTGGTCAAACTCATTGCGGTCCACCTCACCCAGAAGCTCCGCTTGGCTCAGCTGGTCCAGGGTCTCCAGGTGAGCCTGTGTCTCTGGTGGGGGGGATAGCTGACCCAGGTGGCCCTGGTGGAGCCCGTGATGAATCTGGGGGAAAGATGAGGTGCTGTAGTAAGACAGCGGAGGGCCGGGGATCAGCCCGCCGCCACTTTGGGACATGTGAGGGACGTGACCCATGTGCGTGCCTCCACAGTGGATTTGGGTCTGGGTGTAGTCAGTGTGGTAAGGGGGCGGGCTGCCCATGTGCGTCTGGTTCTGGTGGTGCTCATCTGGGCAGGAGGAGGAGCAGGAGGAGCTACCGGACGTTGAATAATAAGAGAGGGGTACGTGCTCGTGGTCCATGGCGTCCAAGGGGGACATCTCCGGGGGAGTGGGCAGGCCGTAGGGGTACGTGTCAAAGCTGCTGTTTGAGCCGGCCGGGTCCCTGAAGCTTCGGACGCTGGGCAAGGCGGGGCCGGGGCTGGAGAACCCGCTTCGCATACCGTTGGGGCTGCCCTCGTCTTTGTCGAGGTGGCGGCAGAGGGCCCTCTGGTCGGGCAGGGCGTTCTGATCGGGGGCCAGCCCGCTCAGCAGGAAGCCCGGATCCACCCGCTTGCAGATGCGCTTCAGCTGTTTCTTCCGGCGAGGCCGGTACTTGTAGTTGGGGTAGTCCTGCATGTGCTGCACCCGCAGCCGCTCCGCTTCCTCCACGTAGGGCCTCTTATCGGGGGGAGTCAGGGCCTTCCAGGACTTGCCTGCGAAAAGAAAAGAGTTATTTTTTGGTGTTTCACTTAAATACAAATCTTGAACATGTTTCAATAGATTAGGCTGCAATTTATTGTTGCATATTTTTTTATTTCATATTTAAAGTCTGTTATACCAAAACTAATTCACCCATTACCGATATTCTACAATGTGTAAAACCTGCATACATATGTTTTATATCCTTTGAAAACTTAACTTAAACTCCTTTATCTGGTAATTAAGATTATAAATTCTCTAGGAAAACGTGTGTGATTGAAAGACAATTAAAAATAAGGTTAAATCAAAACCGACATCTCAGAATATTAAGATACATTTTTATCTACTTAAAATTAAAACTCATATATTAATACAGTAATTTGTTTCTGTAGAAATTAAATAAGAAAAACATTAATATTCAAACTCTTAATGCAAACTCAATATTGAGCTTTCCTTAAGTTCTTAAACGTTTAAAGAGACTTTGCTTAGTTCTGGATACCCTATTTAAGACAACCACAAGAGCGCGTTTCACTTCCTTTAATGATGGGAAATTTTACATCTTGCCTCATTTTGAGTTTAATATTAAACACAAAATCCTACACTTTCTGTCCTTTTCTGTGTCCATCAATCGATTCGTTTTTACAGATACATCATTTACCATTACGCGCTTCAGTCCAAAACAGCCGTGAAGTTACGCGTTTATTCGACTCTTTTTTTTAACCTGGTTATAGGTTAAAAAAAGAGTCGAACTGTATTAAAAACGTCAATTTGTTTTCTTCTTAAACACCGTAAATAGTATTTACGTTATTTGATGTGCTGCAAAGACGTTAAAACTTTTTGTAAAAGAACCGAGGCCTGCGGAGGTAATTATCAGTATGTGTAATTAAAACAGAAGAACAAATAAAAACAACACACAATCATATGATGATGATGATAATACTAATAGAAATAATAATTAAAAACGATGACTCCATCTCACCCAGCATTTTGCTGAGCTCGGCGTTGTGCAGGTCCGGGTTCTGGACGGCCAGCCGCTTGCGCTCGTCTTTGGCCCACACCATGAACGCGTTCATGGGCCGCCTGATGCGCGGCTCCGGCGCCTTGTCCACGGGGGTCCTGTGCGGGCCGTGTCCGTCCGGCGCGTCCCCGTCTCCCGCGGGACACTCGAAGGACTCCGGCCACGACGAGTACGCGCTGATGAGGGCGGCCATGTGCGCGCGTTCTCCTCCCCGAACTCGAGATGCGGCTCCTCGCTCGCGACAAAGTTGGAAGTTCTGAGGTTCTGAGGCTTGATTTATTTGGACTACAGCTCACGCGCAGATGTCAGCAGAGGAGTTCGGGGCGCAACCAGAGATGTTCTCAAGCGGCGTCTCCTCCCGGTGAATTGTGGGTTCAGTCTTTTCCTCGTGGAAAGAGGAGAGCGCTTTATATTTGAGGAGCAGGTTCCAGGAGAAGCCCCGCAGGACTCCCGGCTCCTCCTTGATTGCAAGTTGAGCCCCGTGAAAAGAGAGAAGAGAGAGAGGGAGGGAGAGAGAGAGAGAGAGAGAAGGGAGGGAGGGGGGGCAGAATGCAGGATTTCAACACCAGCAGCTCCTTAAACCGGCCTCACAACAAAACCACTTTCCATTGAGGGAAAACGAACAAACTCACAATAAGAAGTTCATGCCTATGGTCAGAATCATGGCAACACAGTTCATGTCGTGTTTTTTTTCAGTAACTTCATGCTAATGTCGTGACAGAGAGATTTTGCAAGACCGGCCTTTTTTTCTGGCAAGCAAACCAGCACCTGTGAAACTTCTCGAACCTGTTCGGCAGTAAACCCGAACATCCAGCTGTGCGTCAGCCAACCTTTACGCAGGCCGGGGAGCCGCTCCGTGGAGCCTTATGTAATCTCAGTAAGCTGCACACAACAGAACTTTAACGGCTTTCTAAATGTATTGGCATATGTTGGTGCATTTTGGGTGCAGATCCATAGAAACACGTGATTAAATCAAACGAGAGAATAAACCACAAATCAGGTTCCTTCTGTGGCTGCGGATCAACTCCTTGAGTTCCTGTTGACAGGATACTCTCGGGCTGCAGCCATGGAGTGATTCTCACACACACACACACACACACACACACACACACACACACACACACACACACAATGCCTGCGCACAGCTTCTGTTGATCGTAGGTCAGATGGTGTCATGGTTTGTAGTATTTATGGGGGAGGGAGTAACCCGAGAGGCACCGTGGTTTTAACTCTTCTTTAATTTCCTTCCTCCAGAGGGCAAAGGATCCTTGCAATTCTAATGCACATCTTTTGGTTGGTCGCCTCTTCAGCCATCAAACTGAAGCGTCAGCTGGAGTTTAGTGTGAAACTTATCCCCCAACACACACACACACACACAGGAAGAGGATACGGCACCTGAAGCCACAGATAGTGTGTGAAGCAGTGATATATAGGGCTGAGCGAGGGTCACGTGTGACGTCGGGAGCTGATTACTGTACCTGAGCGTGCAGACACACATGCTATTTGGGAGGAGACAAAGTTTCACATCATTATCTGCGTATAGGGGGCTTCTGAAATGACTAATGCGTTCACCGCTGCGTGGGCGGACGCCGCGTCCCTCCATCGGTGTGACAGACGCGTGTCTGCTGGAGGAAGGGGCTTGTCTCCATATAGAAGCAGCGGCGTGAGAATTACACGTCAAAAATCAGCGAATGGGGCTGAACCTGTGTCACTTTTATTAGACATCTGCATCATAGAAAACCAGCGGTTACATTAAGTACAAATGTGAGTACATGACGGTTGAGGAAATATGCTTTATATTAATACGTCACCCTGATGAGGTTTTGTAATGAACCGTATCTCATAAGACATAAAAAAAATTTAAAAAACAGTGATAGTAGCGTTTATTGTTTTACGTCATGGGGCAAATGTCAAAATGGTGATGAGGAATGCTGTTTTGCGCGACTGCACCAGTTCCCGTTTTCCTCCTACGACTTAAGTTACCAACCGACTGGCTCGTTGAAAAGGTCCTCTGTCAAGTCAAAAGGAAACATTTTAGCTGATCAGATCATCACGCTACCCACTGCGCGACTGAAGGAACACTATTCCTCTTCAGCGCGGTTTCCTCAATAACTCATGTCTCTCCACCTGTGACAGAGAGGGAGGGGGAGGGGGGGGGAACGAGGAAGGCAATGAGCTATTACCTAAAATATCTAACTTCTTCCTTAAGTCTAGGCATTTTAGCAACAGACCCAATCATGTGGGGTTTTTTTACGGGGCAGCGTCAAGTGTTCCACAGGTAATACGATTGTATCGGAGCGTAGGACAATTAGTCCGTGTCCCCACGATGTTTACAAGAAACCTGAAGGCATTGGAGGACAATTCTATTGATTCCCCCCTATTGATGTTTCTTTTTCTTTTTCTTGTCCTTTTTGGATTTCTTTGCTACCAGCTCTTCCTCTTTTATTTCATCGCCCGGCTTCTCGATGGGTTTCTTCTTGTCAACGACCTCAGAGTCTACGGCGTGATCATCAGTGGGCCCGTGTCCATTCAGCAGCTCAGTTCCCTCGTGCTGCTGCTGCTTCTTCTTCTTCTTGGAAGGAGGCAGCGCCTCACAGTTCTGCTCCCCGCCAGAGGGGGCGCCACAGTTCTCATTCACTTTCCTCTTTTTCTTCTTTTTACCAGAACTGTCCCCCCGTTCGTCCTCATCGTCCTCTATTAAGATGACAGGAACGGCAGTGCTGTTCTCTTCCACCACCTCCAGGTCTTCAGACTCTTGACGCTTGTTCTTATTTTTCTTCTTCTTCTTCTTCTTCTTTTTGGGCTCGCCGCCGCCGTCGTCGATGACGATGACGGGTTCGTTGGTTGGACCGGATGTCTCGTTGGTCTCCGTTGACGGCGCCTCTTCACTAGCCCTTTTCAAGTCCGCCATTCGTCGCGCAAAATACTCCTGCATAGTGAGGGCACTTTTCACCGTCTTGGTGATGGACTCTGCGTCCAGCTCGAAGGCGGCGGGAGGACAAGTCGGCTCCGTCTCATCCGGAGGACCGCCGCCGTCGCTCTGCTGGACCAAAAACACAGAAGAGAGACAAGTTAGGATGCAACATTTAGAGAACACACACGTGGACCGAGGAGCTTAAGTGATCGTCAATCATCGTGCGTAGATTAGGAGGCTGATTTTTTTGTGGAAAGAGCTCAAAATAGTATGTGGAGGTAACAATAGGTGTTAAAGGATCATCTTAAAATAAGCATCAATGGACCCAATTGTCACACGTGACATTTCTCATCATCTCCTTGCAAACACAATGTAGATTCACACGTCTTTAAAACCATCTCTTAGCGCCTCTGACTTAAGACCAGAACTTAAATATAAACCATAAGTGTATAGGAGTCGTTTTTTGTTCACATTGTGACACTACAAAACTAATTCACGTGTCTTACAAATATTTAAACATAGATTATATTAATTATACTACACATAAAATTGATTCTATACATTGCATAATAAATGTGTGCTTATTTTAACACCAGTATTTGGACATCCGGCAAAGTAAACGGTATAATTCTCTCCTTTAAAACAAACGGCGAATATAATTCATGGTTGAGTTTAAACAACTTTTTATATTTGGTGAGATCATCAAAGACCTCCTGTCTGATACACACATTTCTCCTCCTGGTTCCTGTGAGGCAGTTAAACGGTGGTAGCTGTTAAAAAGCAGAGAACACTCGCTCATTTGATTTGGTTAAACTGTCTCCAACGTGAGTCGTGGGCCACAGACTCGTCTGTTTGCTCGTAAACCGGGACCACTTCTCAGCCGAGAGCCGTATCTCAACTCTGCAGCAGGAACAATTTGTCACCTCACCCCCGCGACCCATTTGTCTTCATTTTCCTAATGGCCTACTCAATGCATAATGATTCGTCCGGAAGAATACGGGAGCTCCTCCTCGGAGGCGCACTAAACAATGCGGCCGCGCGGAGCGTTGCCTCGGAGATGTGCAACTCAACCGCATTTTTACAGATACGATACAGATTAGAGACGAAATGAAAACGCCGCGTTATATGTCGAGTCACCTCACGGTTTTGGCCTTTAAAGCTTGTACATTGCGATGACACTACTTTGACCCCTTAACACTGATTGAAATGCACAAGCCAAGTGATGGGCTGTTAAAACCATGTGGACGTAGAGAACAACGGGTCTCGCGGGACCCAAACGGACGGAAATCTGGAGTAATGTTCCTACTAAAGCAGCCGGGCTTCCTCGTCTACGGTAAATGTATTTGGTTCCAAACTACGGGACTTCAATGGAACCCGTCAAGCAATCTCTCTGAGTCACACACACAGACTTATATATGTATCTCTATCGATTAAAAAATGAACTAACCCTTTTGTTTGCTGTATAATATAATTAATACGGACATAAATTACTCCGCACATACAACACTAGATCAATACCTTTTTTTACGGCTATGACTGATGTAACATCATGAAAGGTTCATTTCTGCATATTCGGTTTACTGTATTCCATAAGCATCACAGTCAGGAGCACATGATTGAGGCTACATGACAAGGCAGGTGTTGTGAAGTTTTCCGCCACCTCAGACCTCAACTATAAAGACCCCCATCTGTTAACAAGGTGTGGAGGAGGCGGGGGGGGGGGGGGCTAAGGCCCTTCAGTTGAGGAGCCATTACACAAAACTTTCCAACTTCCCAGAAAGAAAAAAAAGAAAAAATCTATACTCCCCGTTACTGCACAATGGCATCCTGCGCTTGGGAGAGACGAGATGTGGTTTGGAGCTGACAGCGGCAAACAACATGTACCTGGGATTAGGGGAGACGGCTGGGGGCCACTTTAGAACCGCCTGTGAAATTACTCTCGAGAGGGAGACGGAAGAGGAGGAAGAAGAAGAAGCAGGAGAGTGACAGAGAAACTCCTTCATCAGGGCGAGTAGCAGGGACCTGGTCCTCCGTCCGCTCCGCCTGGGGATCTCCATTAGACCCTGATCCGGCCGGACAAACACGCGCACAGCGGGGACGCAAACCACCTACAGTCAGCAGTACCGGCGGCCCTGGAGAGGTTTGCTGTAGGCAACGTGTTACTAACAGACCACTCGGCAGTAATGTTTGAGATCTTATTTCCCCGTTTCAAGCTGTGTGCCGTTTTCACCTGGTTGTTTTTGTACTTGGCGATTTGTGCCGGACTGCTTTTATGAGACAAAACCCTCGGAGCAGAATAAATCTTTCCTGATAAAAGCGCCATTTTATGAACTCATAATACAACACTGTAATGTTAGCAGAGCGGCATCGCTGCTGAATCAGCTTTATGTTTGAGTAAAGCAAAAACACGACAGAATGTGATATTAACAATCATGACAAATATTAACCAATACAGAGAAGTAGATAATGTTAGGCGCGTAAACGTCTCGGTCAAAGACAACCAGAGACAACTTCTTTTTTAACACTAGGACAACGTGAATATTAAGATAATTCAATTCTCTCTCGAATTTCCAAATGTTGATTGACAAATTGTGACAGAAGTGAGATAATTGGCTGCGCTGTTCACAACACGCATGCAGCACATTCTCACGCGCACCGCGAGTGGAAGGCACACGAAGAAGGAGGACAAAAATGATCAATACTGTGGCTAGAAATCACAAAAACTGGGAAAACCGTATCAGAAGTGAGGATTATAGAGTTCCGTATGTTCACTTACTCCTTTCCAACACGAGTTCAGAAACAAATCTCACTAAACTAAATAAGTGCAGTGTGGATGAGTTGAAACCTTCCCACAGTGGTTTACGTCTTTACTTCCTCCAAAAGAAAACATAATCTGAACGTTACTGCTTTTTGCTATTTTAGTGCCAAACCCGACACAAATATACATCATTTAGAAAACAAGTCCACATAATTGCTGGAACTAGAGGCGGACGGTTGATGAGGTATTCCCAGGCTGTAACCCAGTGGGGTCGCAGAACACATCTTCATGTGGCGACATCTCCTCCTGCTCCTGCTCCTGCTGCTCCTCACGTCGTCTTCCTCTCTCGTCCTCCTCCGGACTCAGAACCTCAGGAAGAGGATGCGCTCGCTGCACTGTGTGCAGCTCTGAGATAAGGCTCCTTCGGCCGAGCAGCGGCCCGGCTGGCTATCGGGCCCTTCCTGCTCCATTCTCTGCCCTGGCGGGGGCGGGGAGGGGTGGGAGTGGAGTGGAGTGGGGGAGGTGGGGGGTCTGGGCAGGGAACACGAGGAGGGCCCGTGGAGGGTCCCGGAGAGAGAGAAAAAAAAAAAAAAGGAGAGGGTGGGGAAGACATTCACCAGGCCGCCTCCTTCAAGACCCTCCAGTTCCATCTCCCCTCGTTGGCCCAGAGGAGCAGAGATACGGGGGCCAACGTAATCAAGGGCAGAGGCATCGGAGCCAGCCGGGCGATGGAAGGGTCACTTAAGACCGCGTGCAACTCGGTTTTAAAACTTATTTTGGCGGAGAAACTTCTTTGACTTCGACACTGGATCCAAAACAAATATGCAGCGAGTAAAGCAACTTGATGTTTACCTTTTTCCAAAACCAATACTTGGGGATGTTGTTCGCCGCGGATCCCAAGCCAAGGCCTTTATTAACACATGGAGGTCGTTTCATCCGCTCTCTGATTAAAGAACTAAACGCACAGAAGTAGCCCTACTTAAATTAGTGAATCAACTTATTCAAGTATTCCTTCAAACCATTAAACATTTGCTAGTTACAACTTTTCAAAGGTTTTTTTTTTTATTGTCTATGTTTCAAATGATTCATCTTTCTGTACATTAATTGTTGGAAAAAATAAGCATGCGTCGTGATTTAATGATGAAATGCAGCTCTAATCGAAGCCAATTTCACAATTAACTGTCACCTCCACTTATCTTCTCCAATAGGTAGTTCTGTAGAATTGTGCGTTAAAGCACATCTGTGTTTGTTTCCCGGCTCCACAATAAAACCAGGGAATGATAACCAAAGGCTGTGAACTTGGAATGTGAACTTGTTATCTATTAACCAAATTACAATTTTTGTTTAAGGGAAAATAAGATTTTATTTTAGTAATGAAAAAAAAAAATCACAAGTTTGTCTAAGAAAATATCCTGTAATGGGGAACAACTATAAGATTTACTAAACGTTATGAAAAAAGATTAATGTTTCTTACTAATTAGCTTTAATCGCCTTTTGGCTCACATCTTAATTAGCATTCGACAAAGCTGCAGTAGCCTATTTATTTTCTTAAAAAACTGCCCGCTTTGCAATACGCGGTGGGTTTTTTTCCTCCAATATTTTCAAGCCAATATTGGTCGGGACTGTAATTGCGTGAGTGTGCCCTCATTGTCCTGCCACAATAATAAATTTGGCGATACTCAAGGTCTATGGATCAGGCCCTGATTAGCCAGCTGTCTCTCCCCGATGGCACGCGGGTGCAGCAGCACATCCTTCACGCGCCTGATGTGGGCGGACAGAAAAACAGCTGGATGCCTTATCCTCCAGTAAATAAGCAAACCGCCCCGACATCCATCTTGTTCTTCCTCTTTACATAATGTTGCTGACCCCCAATGTGATCCTGATAGTCTGCTTCCCTTCCTGAAGGAACACCACGTTCACAAGGCAGCAAACTTAAAAACGGTGAAATGAAGTAGCTTAAGTAGATTAAACGCAACACATGGAGGCTTCGGCAAAGCTGTGCTTCTGCTTAAAGGATACTTCCTTTAAACAACAACCCCCCCCCCCCGAAAAAAGGCACTTTGTGCCCAGTGCGAGAACGTTTATCACAAGTAACAAATGAAGACGACATTATGCATGCGGCATGACTGCCCCGTGCTTGTTCAACATGGAAAACGCTTGCCGTTGTGATCTCTCCCCCCCCCATGGGATACCTCCTCCCCAACCCCAGAGAGGGACGATACGGTGATTATTTTCCTCCAGCTGTGATTTATTAGATTAAAGAGTCAGTGATTAAACGGTAGTTGGCGGCTGTAAGCAGCCGGAGAGGGCTGGAAGTCTTTGGGCGGTTAGCTTCACCGGGCGGTAATTACCGCGGCCCCCGTGTCTCCCGGCTTAGTCCCGTAACTAAGAGACGGACGCCCTCTTTTTTTTCCTTTTTCGTCCTGCGCTAATCTGTAAGTGTCAGCGAGCTTGGCATGCCAGGAGGGAGGTAGGTGGTAAATGTATGCATGTGTCTTTGCAGCCGGGTGCGGCGGGAGGGGCGGAGGGGGGGGGGGGGGGTCGGTTGGTCGTGATATTTTTGGCGGTGGAAGCAAAAGGGCCCGTCAACAAGCACGGTGAAGAAAGGGAAAGCTTGCTTGAGGCAATTAGATGTTATCTGAGAATGAATTAAGAGCTTCACAATAAAGGCTTCGGCCCGCGTCAGCGCACATTCCCATTCAAACCGCGCCGGCCGCAGCGCGACAACGCACGTCTACGGCCGCAACCCCTTTCAACGCGTCTATTAAGAGGTCAATGGACAACTGAGCCAAGAGGGAAAGGCCTGATTTGGTGCCAGATTTACTATTTATACTGACAATTATTCCATGCAGGGGAACTCCGCAAAAGAATTTAGACTAAAGTGAAAAAAGGAACACCTAATATGTATATAATATATATAGACAACAATATAAGTTATTAAAACACCTGTCGAGCTGCTTCTTTGCATGGAGTTATGACGCTATTTAACTGATGTCTTAAACGGTAGCAACCAAATAAATGTTCATGGCACATTTTTAAGCCGCAGTTACAAACATTCAAAACAACAACTCAACACTCGCTCACTTCCACGTTGACACGCCTCAGCAGTCAAAAGCCGAAGACTACTTCTTTTCTTCGGTGAAGACATTTTTGCCTCCGCGCCGTCAGCAAAGTTGCGCCGCTCGGCTCCGCCCATCGGCTCGCTGGCTCTTCGCCGCCGCACCGCCCCATAACCCCCGAGGACGGTGGTATCGAGGGAGCCGCCGCCCCCCCGCTGACGCGCGATCATTCATGCGGGAGACGCGTAGGAAGGGAAGAACTGGCAACAGGTGCCACCCGATGAGGTCCGATCCGCCGGCCTTTTGTGCCTCAACGTGAGTGGGAGTGGGAGAGGCCGCGGGAGGTCACGCTGACCCGGGTGAGCGATACCGACCGTCTGACTGGAGGGTTCAGACGTCAAAACAAGCTTTGTACCAAATTACGCTCAGCCGTTTTTCATCCCTGACATTTTTAAAGGAGTGCAGAACTAACAAAGTAGAATATTGGCGTATCTGTTGACCATGAAAATTCATTATGGCAATTTATATGATTTCTTTTTACTGAACTTAGAGGGTGAATAGTAAGGTGAAAATGAAATGGTCCTGATTACATTAAGCTACAGTAAATTATATGACTAATTAGCTGGGGATTCCCCACAACATTTCATATCTGGATTGCTAAATGAAAAACCTGAAATGGTCTAAATTAATTTATTAGTTATTTATTACAATTACAAAGATTGAATGTCAATATAAATTCTTTGAGTTTTATAACAATTGGAAGGAGTTTTTATTCTTTTCAAAAACCTCCCCGACAGAAAAAAGAAACGTAGAAGCTAACGTTGGTTCCTCTCATCCGCGCTGGCGGCTCTAAAAAATGACTAACTTTTGTTGATATATGAATCGGCGCGGAGTCTATTTATCAGCAGGCCCTCTGCGGTCGCCCGCTTGGGTCCCTCAAGTCACAAGCCGCGTCGCTCCCCTTTGACTGATTAATTAGCCAATCAGAGGACATTTTTCACTGGGCGGCAGAATGGTTTATTTCAGCTAATGCCGGGCTTTCGAGCCGAGGCCCGCTGGAGCCTCGTCGGCTCTTTCGGCCTGCCTGAGTGGAGTCGGGCAGAGGGGCAAGGGAGATAAATCAAGCCGCGCTGGCCCTCCATGCGGCTCCCCTAACTAAACCCCCCGAGGAGGGCACGGTGGTGGAGTAGGTGGAGAGAGAGAGAGAGAGGGGTGGGGAGGTTGGGGGGGGCGGGACGGCCAGGGGCACTGCGCGTCCACCGATAAGCACGGGGAGCACGGGGCTGCCAAAGGGCCCCGGTGTCGAAGTGGCCGGGGCGCTCAGAGATCCCCGGCAGGGAGAGACCGTCGTTTGTCACGCCGTGAGTAATTGCGCCGGCCGGGACACAGGAGGGGGGGCCCGCGGGAGACGCAGCGCGGGACGGGTGATGGATGACAGAGAGCCGTGGAGATGGACAGCTGCTCCGCCACGTCTCCATAAGCCTCGCTGGGCGGAGGGTGTAAATAATGGGGTCCAAGCGCACATTTCCAAGTGGTTCCGCCAGACGGTGGAACGAGGCTTCGGGTGAAACAGCCATTTGTTCTGCAGATCATTGTCGTGTCGTAGTTAGTTGTGGTGGCCTCCCGGGCGGGGGGGGCATTATTTTATGCTGTTTATAATTTTGTGCACTTGCGGTTTACTACCGCTGTCATGACAAACGGTTTCAATGACTTAACACATTTATGTCAAGTGTTGAGACAAATATAACTCAACATAAGCTTCTTAAAAGCAGGCACGTTTAGTATACTTGTAATACTTTTATTATGATTATTATTACTTTATCATTGATAAGTAGTAGTATTACTTGCTTGGTAACGCTTGATTATTGAATCAGATGTCTTGATTTGATTAATTTTTAACCCTGCTGAGTTTCCTTTTCACACATGGCTAGAACACATAGGTCTTGAATTATATTAGTTTGTTACGTATTTCAAAATGCATCAATGTTGTTCACAAAGAATATCAAAAAAGAGCCCAAAAACTAAGACATTCCTCTATGCATTTTTGTTTAAATGTTATCTTTATCGTAAGTTGTCTTGGTTGGCATTGTTACCCAACATACTGTGAGGTTGGGATGTTTTCACCTGGAGATTATTTAAAAAGACAAATTTACACAAACAAAACTAACCAACGACCAACTAATATGTGGGGGTTAATAATCTGTCCTGTCTGCTCGTTTTCAACAGATCCGATCCTGCCTTTGATGAAAAGAGGCACGTGGGACGGCAGAGTGTGTGTATGTGTGTGTGTGTGTGTGTGTCTGCATTTCAGGGAGCGTTGTGAGCAGCGATAAGAGGGGAGCAGGAAGCACATCACTGCAAGGAAGGAAAACCCCAGCGGCGTGGGACTGGTGGAAGGGAGGCGGCGGGGTGGAGGGTAAAGAGCCGGGAGATTCGTGAGCGGGAAGGAGGGCGGTTCTGAAGCCGAACCCGATCGGGTCTCACCTGGTCGAGGTGCAGATACGCGATAATGCGCCAACCCATTTCACCACTAAATGGCCTTCATTTCGAGACGGCCTCTACGTGTAGTACAGCTCTTTGGGGCACCGACGTTACTGCACGCGTGAGTGTTGTAGATCGTATTTTGTTTCTGGAACAGAGGAGCACCGCGAGCACAGACCAGGGGGCACTGAGGGTCACCGGCAGCGCCGCGGACACTCACAGGAGACTCTGGACAATGCCTGGAGCTTGATTGGTCCATCACCCTCTTTACCTCGTCCCAGCCGGCTCAAACGTTGCTGGGCTTCAACGCGAGGCCCCGCAGGGACGCCATTGTAATTGTGTTCAGTGTTTTCGATATGGTCATTGGCGTCCCTCCTGGCTGAAAAATAGCAACCCGTAACCCAACGATTAGGCAGGAAATGCTGGTGTATATTGCTTGCGTTTCCAATGTTAATCAGCAGCCATTGTCATGTTATGGCTCGGGCACCTGCGCGGGAATAGAAAAAACGGTTTTCCCCGTGCAATTTATGGATTTTAAGATGCCAATGTCTTCAAGCCAAACGCTTGAGATAAACAGGAGGGAGCCAACAAGAGGATTTTCTGTGTCAGGACATTTGTCTCTGTCCTGCTGTATGGAGTCAGCAAAACAAATACATAGAGACAGAAGTTCTGCTTGTGTCAACTCCAATAACTTTTTTGTAATAATCCCAGTTTATTTATCAAGCAAAGTTAGAATAAAATCCCATCTGTTGGCAGTCAACCATCTTATATCTGAAAAAGTATTTACAAATCCTATTGCAATTTAATGCTAAAGGTTGCGTGCTTACTTATTCAACATGATGATTTAGTTATTCAGTATCTATAAATAATTCAACAAGTTCCATTAGCAAATACGTACGTTTCATTTCTAACAACGCACGCCCAGTTTAATATTTCAATGCAACCATAACAACCGGAATAGATTAGAACGCTAACGTTAATTCGGTAACAGGTGAGGTCTTGTTTTTCACAAGTAGCTAAGCATGCAACTTGCACCTGTCTGAGCCTTTAAGCTACGCTTCAAAAAGCACAAGCGCCAGCATAACGCCGGATGGCAAAGTGACGTTTGAAGTGACCAACGCCAGGAGCAAAAAGGCAAACTTTTTTTTTTTTGCAAGCGTCATCATTTCAGATTTCCGCACGCCTCATCCCAAATTTTTGATTTGCCTTTAATAACGCCCCGTGGCCTTGGAGCTCCCTGACGTGGACGCTCCGGGACGCCGGTAGAGAAGAGAGGGATTGCAGCGGGAGCAGTAGTGGGTAAGAGCGCAAATCCCTTAACTGGATTTAGGTGCTCTCGCCGCCATCAGTGGGCCGTTGGCGGCGTTAAAGCTGCACGATGTGACATGTCTAATCTGGGACCTCGGGCCGTTAAGGAGCTGGGCCCCGTACAAGCACTCGGGTCACATGACACCACAGCGACGACTGAGGCATCAGCACCAGCCATCGCCCTTAATTACCAAGACGGAGGCCAATAAGCCCGAGCCACGGATGAAATGCACCCGCTCATGAACTGGGTTCCGGCCTCAACATGGTACATGTGTTTTATGGGGTTTGCATGTGTTTTTTGTAAGAACTTAAACCATTGATAAGAAAATTTAAAAAATGCATTTGCAAGGTTATGGTTTGGAAAAAAGTTTAGTTTTCAGGGCCTGTGAACGTATCTTGATTTTACCTGCTCTTGTGATTTGGCAGCTTTTCCTCTTTTCCCAAAGATGCAGTTAAGGTCTGTTTCACTACGGGAGGACAGGTCTTTTCCTACGGAGAAGAAAAAAAAAGGATAAATATTTCAAATTCATTCAGCAACTTCAAAATCTGTTTTAAACGGTTTATTTTTGCAATTCATAAAACAAAAAATACAGATTACTGATATGACCTAGTGAGGTTTTCACTTTTGACCGTTCACATTTTCTCACATACAAAAGGGACACGTCCCAAATGAAGACAACCTGTATTGGCTACAGTTGAAAGAACAAGTAGGCGTGGGGGGGGCGGTATCTTGAGCAAAGAGAGGGGAGGTTTGCGTGGTTCGCTTCTGCTCCAGGGATAAAACGGCATAGAAAAATAAACCACCGACGAGGTCTGCCACGCCCCGCCTCCGGATTCCCATTTTCAAGCCAGGCCTCAAAGACTCCTGGAAGCACACAGTCGCCCGTCTCAGGCCCGGGTCCTGTTCGTACAGCTGCATCCTCTTCCTTCAGCGGGGCTCTGATAACATTCGGTTATTTATTGCTTTTAAACCGCTATCTCCCCTACTCTTGGCTTTGAAAGCTGCACATGCAGGTCTGAGAAGTAAAACCAAGAAAAGTATGTTGCGAACTAAAATAAATGAGGGACGGGACCCGAGTTCGTCCAGCGAACTCGGGTCAAATGTAAAGTTATGCCCAATGTGACCTTTCTGCTGTTTGGATGAGGAAGCGCCTGTCAGAATTCTCAGGCTTTCAGGTGAAAGTGCAAATAGCAAATGTTGTGATAAAAAAGAAAGGAGCTGAGGCGTTTAAAAAGGTGGCCGAGTGCCAGGACGCAGGACGAAGCATGCGAGCTGCTGCCGTGCAATGGAAAGTGTTTGTGAATACATGCTGGTTTCCAATGGCACAGTTGAAATGGCAACCACTGTCAGTACGGATTACTGGGCAAAGCAGGCAGAAACAAATGTTCAATTAACAAAAGAAGTACAATATGAGGAGGGGTCACATAAAAGTCCCCAGAACTGAACAGGTTGGTAGATCTAGTTGCACTTGCAGCTTCTTCAGCTTGCTGTGAACTTATAGCTTATTTGGCCTCAAAACGTTTCAGTTTACGGCTCAAACGCAAACATTTGTTAGGTTGAAAAGCCCCGACACTACTACAAAGCCAAACACAGCGGATGGAGAGCTGTAGTTAAATTCTGCACCCCCCACCTCCGCCCTCGCCCTCTCTTTGCTGCCATGACAGATGATGGATGGAGGTAGCAATTAAAACTGGGTTACTGGTTTATGCTGCGGGTCCCGGACCCAAGCAGCGGAGATTTTGGTGCTTCCCCCCCCCCACAAACAAAGGCCATCAATCCTCAGCGCTGGCAGTGAGGGAACCGGCATGAACAGGACAGGATATCAATAAAAAAGCAGAAGGAAGAGGAGGAGGCCCGCGCCGCTACGGAGGGGGAGATGCTACCACGGTTCTCAGGTGCTACTGCGGTCGTAAATTTAACCATCAATGTTCTTACAGACTTTATATTAAATGAACCAATAAACTATTAAATTAATGATTTAGCTGTGAGGACCATGAACATTTCCTACATGAAGTCACCCTCGTCAAAAACAGGCTTTTTAAACGGTGGAACTGGACTGACAGTTTATGCCTGTCGGACCACTTCAAGCAGACGCAACACTCTACTCTCAAGTTTCCAATCAGGTTACGGACAAACAAGTAACGCCAGCGTGCCTTCCGTTGCATGGCAACAGTCGCCAACCCCTTTTGAGTAGAAACAAGTTTAAGTGGTGTTACGTTGTTATACAGGTGTCCATTTCACACAGAGCAACAAACTGGCTGAAGATCAAGTTGCAGACCAAACGTTGCCACCTGCATTTCCCCCTTACCTGCCTCCCACTGTGCCAAGGCAGAGAAAATAAAGATGCTGAAGTGAGTGGATCTTAAATGTCTTAATGTGGGAAATCGTACAACTGTCAGAGTGCTACGTGCTCTTTGGTTTGCTTTGTATTCTGAGCCTCACGGTATTCGGGTGGCTACGGAATCAAAGAGACACACGTCCAAATATAAGTGTTACAAATGAATTCAATATATGCTCCAAAAATGTGTTCGAGCACAATGCAAATAACATGTCCGTTGTTCTTTGCTGAGAAGTCCTCATTTACAAGACAAAGACTTACTCACAAATTCAAATTTACAATGCAAATATGCATTAACATTGGACAATAAAAAAGGGGGTATATTTAGAGACAGTGTGGATGCACACCAACTAAGACTACTGCTGCCTCTGTACGAGTCAGAGAATTCAGAAGATTCTGGAGTAAAATCATCACACCATTAACCTATGCCTTGTGTCTTAAGTGCGTACGGTGGATCCAATCCACCGGGGACAAAGTCTTTTTCTGGCCCCTGCCAAATTAAGATCACAAAAACAGGGGGAGAGCATCTGGGGAAGAGACGGACGCCACTCATCTATCTGGTGGGGTCATCTTAATGGGTCACACAGCTTCTGGGAGGTGTTGTTTTTTTGAGGGGGGGGGGGGCAGTAAATGGACCTGCCAGATGCCCCAAACAGGAAATAGGAAGTTGCTATTGAATGACGTAAAATGTAAAAGGCTCTTCCAGGTGAGGCAAAAGTTGAGATTTTGTTTTCCTGTGTATGCTGACCCGATGAGGCACATTTGAACCCAATAACAAGAACGGTTACAGAGTAATTACTCCAGCACATGCAAAAGGACTTGCAGAGTTACTGCAATAAATACATCGCCGATCAATATCAGCTCAGTGTTGCAAGTTCAGCATCAAAACACCATTACTGATGAATACCTTGACAATCTTATTAAGAAATTGTGCTTGCAATCACTCAACTATGCTCCATGCTTAAGCAAAGCATTAGACGATGAGTAAGCGGTTATTCCTTTTGGTCTCCAGTGGTCCTGAACACCAGATACCTCCTTGTGCCTATCAGTGCACTGGCCTTGACCAGCCAATTTTGGCTTCCTGGGTTTTAAAGGAGTAATGAAAGTAGAAGGAAGAGTTATTAATAACCTCCCCTTGCACTGACCGGGCCAAGTGACCCAGCACCGCCTGACAGGGCTCTGATCAGCATCTGTGGTCTGAGCCAAGTGCACACCGCTCAAGGAATGGTTACGGAGGCGTTCTGTCGGTCTGGGTGGATTGTATGGAAAGCGGAAAACCAAAAAAAGTAGAGGCACAAACTTTTGCAGGTGCTTAAATGAGAAAAATAATACACACATCAGTACGTGCTTGCACTGAAACAATTTGATCAGAAACTTTCCTTGTTGAGAACCACAAACTCACCTTTAGTGAACTTCATGTAATGGACCCGCTTTTTGGAGGTCTTGGACTTCTCTTCCAAGCTGAACCCTTTCGCTTCCTCTACTGGTGGAGTTTCTATAGATGCTTTTTTTAAATAAAAAACGACAACAACAATGTAGTCATCAATAGCTATCATTTTAAGATGACCATTTAAAATCATTGCATTTTATTACAACCTCATAAAACAGTGACATGCTTTGTCTCCCAGGCCTGTGCTGACAGATTTATGTTCATTTTTCAACTGTGGAAATGTTTCTCTCCTAAATGTTGCAGCGCATCACCCTCTACTGTCCAACGGAGGGAACGCACACACAAACGGCTGCTCTACGGCATCGTAATGGCAAGAGTTGTAAGTACAGCAACATTATGGTTGAATTTATGGTGTAACAGTGTGAGCTGATGATGTGGCACGGGGTGATTTGGCTTAACTTGAAGAAAATGAATTGAAACATTTTCTTGAATAAGTATAAATCGATTTGTGAAGAACAAGTGCCAATGTTTTGTTAGTAACATCTCATGAGGTTAAACATCACAAATACACGTTCAACCTCTTTATCAAGATGTAACAAGGTGCATTACAGTTATCACTCGCTTTCGTACATACCGGCGCTGCCGTTTTGTCCGTGGCAGTTGTTCAGTTGAGCCAGAAGCTCGTTGAAGTCATCCTGGTGTGCGATCCAGTTGTCCTGTGAAAACAGGCATCAATCAGCACAACAACAACAACAAAATAAAAGAGCCCTGCTACAAATCTTCACTTGAAAATTAACGGTGCAACGAGAAGACTTAATTCAAGTGTAGCGTCAAATGTGGGAAACAGGCTCACCTCATAGCTGGCCATTGTTCCAAGACCATAATTGTCGTTTTTAACTTTAACTTTGATATTTTCAGTGGAACCTTGCTCGCTTCTGCCAAGGCCCTTCATCGAGAAAACATAACAAGCGTCATCAAAACACTGTCAAACGTCTCAGGAAATACAGTTGACACATCAAGAAAGATCCATCTCACCTTCCCCTTGGACCAGCCCATTCGCTCCATCATCTTATGGCCGAATTTGGATTCATCATTACTCCAGCTGGTGTTCCTTGGGTCCACAGACCACTTCACTTTCTTCCGGGCTGGAAATCACAGCAGCAACAATCGGTACATTACAGCCCTCCAACAAAACATTACACGGGCGAGCAACTCACACTCAAAGCCGAAGCTGACCGGTGTGAGATCTGATGTACACGCAAAAATAATACGCTAAGAACTTAAGAGTGGACAAAGAATACGTCTACACGCGTTGTGTATTTAGTATTTATTAACACACAGATCCGCATCATTGCCGGGTAACTTAACTCCGCTGTGCCTTATATCATTTAAATATACAGATCCCATGTTTCAAAAGCATTTTGGTGTCGAGATCTTGTACACGTTTAGGCCCAGTTTATAAGCTGGACGGGGAGGTGTCTTATGCATGTAAATTAATGTTAGACACAATGATTGACAATTGTCAGAGAATCCAGGCAGAAGCGAATCTGCTGTTAAATACAAATATTCCTTAATTGAGGACAACAGAAACATCTGTACAGATATAGAAACACGTGTTTTTCGCACAGACCGCTGCAGTAATGCTAATGTTAGCTACACGAATAGTTCGACAAGTACGATATAAATGAATGTTTTCGCGGAAAAGCCAAGGTAGTATGTAGCAGTGGCTTTAAACGAACACAAAACACAAAAATAACTCATTCACTTTCAAAGAAAAGCGGAAATATTTGACAAAAGTCCAACAAAATTGTACGTACGTGCGGCGAGCATGGCCATCTCGGGGTCCTTCAACAGCCTGACGAAAGTCGCGCGGGTGTCCCAGAAAATGCCTGAAGAGAATACATTGCCACGTTGTTTTCGTAAACTTATCTCGATAACATATGTTTTGTTCGTTTTATTCCATATGGGGGAAGCTATGTTAATTATTTGTTTGCTCTAATAATATAATATAACATATTACGCAATTGGTCATCTTTGCCGGCAGAGAGCGCCGCAGTCACACAACTACAGCATAAACATGCGACGTGTACCGGGTCATTAAGATTCAATGAACTCAAACCACAGCTCCATTAATCTAATCTCACTGTATCGTGTTGAAAAATACAATGTTTGTATTCACCCGAGCCGCAACAATCGTTTGTTTGAATAACAAACGACCAGAACATATACAATACACAGCATTTGCCGGTGTTTTTGTCTAATTAACTCTCTGTACGACATCCTCTGCCTCAGGGGCCTCAAATCAGGAGAAGAACCTGGACCGACATACATATTCAAGTCCTCTTATGTACCTTGTAATCAACATATAAGACAAAAGAACCAGTAATCAAGGCCTTACAGAAAGCTCTGCCAGATAAAATACTTTCTCATCCTGTGGTAGTTTTTAGGGAATAACTTGTCTGGTTTCTTTAGTCTCACTAAAGTATAGAGTTTATTAACTAATAACAATGAAATTATATCAAATGTGGTGTCCTTGAGCTACCTAGGGGTTATAAACACTTTGAGTGTCAACCGATCAAAAGGAACAATGTTAGTCTTGATATGGTTTCGCCAGTGTTTACATTTCTGGTGTGCCCAAGGACACGAGGTGAGGCAATAATATTTATTTATGCAACAAATCCCACGGAAGCGCTTTGTCTTGGTTAACCTTCAAGAGATGTTTAGCCTTAGAAAGGAGACACATTTTTGTCGGATAGTCTCTTAAAAAGTTTTATAAAAAAATAATGATTGGGAGAAAGAGAAATGCGTAATATAAAGGCCAATAGAGACAATTATATATTCCACTCCTGTCCTAATTGCACATATTTACATACTAAATTAAAATAATCACGCTGTCACACTGTTAAATAGCCAGACGTACTTTAATGGTTAACACTGCAAGAACCGTGAAACTCTAATCTGACCCCAAATCTAAAGTAATTACCGTACCTCGCGCATGGGATTAAGGTGAGGTTGTGTAACTGTGTGAAAGCAAATATTGTCCACCTGACCTGCAACAAAGAAGCTGTCAATAGGAACTGTGATACTGTGCAGTATCTGAGCTTTACGTTCTGTTCTTTCCACTTCTTTTTCAACCAGTCCTGAAAGAGTTCTCTGTATGTTACATAACGTCCCGATTTCAGAAATGCTTCACTATGCACTCACGCTGTTTAGGTCAGATCAAGTAAAACACATCATTCAAAACGTGTTCCCCATGGATCATTGAACAAAAGAGCTCATGAATGTAACCATGATCTCAAAGTTACAATGGATTTTCTGAACATGAGCCCTGTAATGGACTACTGGAGTAGAGAAAAGGCCATTAAGATGGTTCGCAACAGCAACACGGCCCAACAAACGTGCAGAACACATTAAAACATGACATCTGCAATAGACATTCCACGAGGGTGCACTGTTTTGAATGCCTGTAACTGTAAGGAAGCTGTATACAGTAGGCCTTTACATTTGCCTTGGAGGCCCGAGGGTAGGAGGAAGGCCGTGGGTCTCGGGCTCTGTTACCATGGCAACAGGTCTCGGTGTGGAATAACAGCTGTTGCGGCGTTTCGTGGCCCGCTGCCCGGTAGCTCACCCCCCTCCCCCCCCGGCCTTCTCCACGTCTCGCCCTTCACTCTCTGCCCCCGGTGTCCAACGTAAGCTGCAGGCACACGGCGCGAATCTTATTACACGACGACGAACAAAGCCCCCGGGGCGGAGGGGAGGGGGGGGTCACGGGCGGCCGAGGATGCAGGCGGATTGGCCGAGGAGAGGAGGGCCCGCGGGCGTGAGTGCACGCCCAGGGAGTCAGTCTTACATAAGAGACAAGGTTTTCATTTACTAGAAGGAGCACAACAAGTGAGAGAGAGCTGAAGTACTGGACAAGAAGTAGAGAGCGAAGTTTGTCCCACTTTGATTAGAGCCACCGCAAATCATTTGTGGATATCTTATTAAAAATAAGACTTTCATCAATTGAAATGACTGTTGTATCTGCAGGGACAGTGGTTCCATGATCTCTGTCGCGTGAACTGAAAACCTTTCAAGAAAAACAAGACCACAAAAAAAATGCTATTTCACAAAATAAGGACACTTTCTTGTTGTCACACAACTAAGGACGATTAGGGGACATTAGAGTCCATGAGGTGTTGGCATTGTTATTATGTCTCCCCAGGTTGAGCAAGGTTATTCACAGAACTTCTGCTGAGTGTGAAGTCATTACAAGGATGTGTGATAGAGCCTGCATTACACTTCCAGAAGGTTTGTTGAGGTTTGTGGTGAATACATTATCTTTTTTTTTTTTGTTCCAGAGCAGAGAGCACCTGCAGCTTTGTTGACACGTTTCCACCTAAGAGAGGTGATGATTAGTGCAGAGAGCTTGTTCAGTTGTGAGCTCTTCAGTTTGAGTGCTCCACGAATCGAGATACAACCTACTGTTACATTTATGTCAGTTTAAAATAACCTTGTTTCTCATTGCACTCAAACAGTCGGTCTCCCGCTGTGCTTTTTCGCTTCTTCTGCACAAGCGCTCCGATTACTGACACGTTGAGAAATTCAAGCGAGGCTATCGAGCACATGTGAAGGACTCGGGTGACCTTGAAGAAAATACAGCTGGAGTTTATTGCATTTATTGATGTGCTGAGGAGGACACTTTTTCCACTGGTTAAGGTTTTTTTCTGCCCACTGACTTTATTATGACGGCGTATGATTCACAAATCACACGTGTCAGCACGAGGACAACTGGAACTGTGGGCGTCAAAGAGCATTTTGCCATCTGGATGCTTTTTCTCAAAAAAACAACAGTCCAACTCTTTTCATCGGGGTCACGCGATGTTTTGTGCTTTGAATCAGAACAGCGATCGTATTTAAAGATTATGATAATGATACGTTTGGTGCCAAACGCACAAGAGCAAATCGTGGCTCTGCGCACTGAAAAAAACGATAGATAAACAATAAAGGTTGAATTTAATCTGCATGCAAAGACTGAATTCCCGTCTCTAGATTCACGCTCAAACGCAAGAAGTCGCATGAACCTCATGCTCCCGTGCTTACATAACTTACAACCATAAGACTTGGCATCTGAACGCTGCTTCAAAACCAAATGAAATACACATGTTTGAAAATTGAACACATCTACAATTCTCACAGTGGAGACGGTCAAATTGGTGAAAGGTCTTGATGATGATGATTTGTTGAGAAGGGTGTGAGAAAACAACAGCTACAGGTAGAGGTGAGAGGAAAATGTTTTATTGTCAGAGCCCGTTGTGTGATCGAAAGAACAGACGTCAAATGGAAACCACTTACAGTCAAATAAAAAGTTGAAATACAGAAACCAACAAACGTGGCCGAATGTAAAATGTGGCTTACAGCGTAATTTTCCCCCTTTGTGTCAAAATAATCCCACAAAGTGGATGAAAAAGCTAAATGTTAAAAGTGACCAGGAACACTAAGTGGAGCTCCCACACGTTTAAAAACCAATAGACAAAATAAATAATTGTACGGCGAATAAACAAAAAAATATTTTTTGCTCCACACTGCTGGAAATGCAGATTCACGTCATCAGAAATCGCCCCCGCAGTTGATTGGACTTATTTACTTCTGAATATTTGGTAAATTACACAACTCGTGTACTCTCAACACAAACTTACTTGATTTCAAACCCAGGAACTTTAGACCCAGAATACCTGAATTTAACACATTTAGAATTTGATTTGGAAAGAAAACTGGTGGAAACAGTTAACAAACACAAAATGCAACATTCAGAGTTTGTTGAATAGATTTTTGCAACAATGCAAAAGTAGTGTAAGTCACCTTCTCTTTTATCCCTGACGAAATCTCCCCCTGACAAACCGCTCCCCAAGCAGAGAAACAAGGGGGGGCACAGCGGGAGAAGACGAACAGGAGCGGTATGGCCTTGGCCGCGCTGACCTGAACACAGGGGTCGCCCTTCGGCAGGCACGCAGAGCCCTTCTGGTTTCACCGAGAGAAGCGAGACAACGACTATGTACAGGCCAAGCTCCTCTATCCTCTTTGGTGAGTCTTTACATTATGTACAAAGAATACTCGGACGCACATCCGGAGGCCTCAGTTGGCGCCGGCCATCCGCGACTCGGCGGCAAAGGAGTTGAGCATCGTCTGGACGAGCTCCGGCAGGTCGTAGTCGTGCTTCCAGCCCCAGTCCTTCCGTGCGTTGGAATCGTCGAAGTTCATTGGCCAGCTGTCGGCTGCAGACAAACGAATGAGGAGTTAGGAAGAGTTGGTTTGACGGCGTACTGGTCACGGACGTGGCCGGTAGTGGGGGACCTACCGATGGCCTGGCGCACGTGGTCGACGTCGTACGTGACCTGCAGCTCGGGCATCTGCTTCTGGAGCTCCTGGGCCAGTTCCTCGGGGGTGAAGCTCATGGCGTTGATGTTGTAGGTCCTCATGCTCAGCGTGTCGGCCGGCGCCTCCATCACCTCCAGCGTGGCGCGCAAGCAGTCGTCGATGTACATCATGGGCAGCCGCGTGCTGGGCTTCAAGTTGCACTCGAACTTGCTGCTCTTGATCGCGTCGTGGAAAATCTGGACGGCGTAGTCTGGCCGCAGAGGAATGAGCGATAGGAGAACACATCGCGGTCAAAATATACCACAATAAATCGAAATGCAAGCTCCAACATCTCCGGGGGAACAAGTCAGTTGCACAACAACACTCGAATTGTCTCCGCCGCTCCTCCCGCTCACCTGTGGTGCCGCCACCCGGCATGGAGTCCGCCGAGATGATTCCCGGGTAACGGAGGCAGCGGAAGTCCAGGCCGTAGCGGTGGTGGTAGTACTGCCGGGGGGGGAAGCGAGACGGCGATTAGGCTCCACTGGATGTAAAGACAGGACGGGGGGGAATAACAAAGGGAACCAAAGAGAAACCCAAGCTCTAACCTCGCCCATCAGCTCGGCGTGGACTTTGGAGACGCCGTAGATGGTGCGCGGCCTCTGCACGCAGAGGTCCGGTGTGGGGTTGCGGGGGGAGGTGGGGCCGAAGGCGCCGATGGTGCTCGGGACAAACAGGCGCAAGCCGTGCTCCGCGGCGATGTCCAGGATGTTGTGGAGCCCTGAGGGACGCGCGAAAGGGGGACCGTACGATTACAACGTGCGCGCCTCCACCCACCGCCGCGGGGAACGATTTTTCACTCGGGATCGTTTCGAGCCGCCGAGGGCGAACCAGCGCGTGCTTACCGGTGATGTTGACGGAGCGCGCGAGGGCGACGTTAGCCTCTCCAACGGCGCTGAGCAGGGCGCTGTAGTGAACCAGCCAGGTGATGCGGTTGTTCACCACGATCTCCCGCAGGTTCTTGTAGTCCAGGATGTCCGAGTAGATGAAGGGGCCTGACCGCGACGGAGATACAAGAGTTTTAGAAGTTAGCAGGGTCGATTCTTAATGTATTTATTCTCATCTTGTTGTATTTATTTAGAAGTCAGGGTGTAATTATCGAGCAGAAGTAAGTATATGTCGCTTGTGTTAGAGAGACAATGGCAGTTTGCAGTAGATTGCTTGATTCCTTCCCCTTTCCTAGAATCACTGCTTGAAAAGCAATAACAAACCCCCGATGTGTTAATAAATACTCATTTCCCGTTTCAGGTATTCCAGTTAAATTGGGTTTACAGCATCAAGCCGTCACATTTATTGGAAGGATCGTCATTCACTGGATGTCAGCAGAGCAAAGTCACCGTGCGTCACATATTGATCCAGATGGAATTTTTTGTGACTTCCTCATGCGCATGTTTGAGAGAAAATCAATAGGAACCAAACAGGCTTTATTTGCTCATGTTATTTGGGCACAAAGCTGTGACACATTTGTAACACATTAACAAAATGTGTTTCCACATGTACTAAAGGGTCGAGAAATTAGTGGCCAGCAGCAACTTTGTACGTTCGGATGTGATGAAAGATTTTCTAGATACTAAAGAAATACAATAGCATGTGTGTACAGATTCTGATGAAACTCAGACGTTCTAACACAGTTCAGCCCATCAGTTGACTCACCGCTGTGGAAAACGTTTCTTGGAGGTTTCCTGATGTCGGACAGAATGACGTTGTCCTTTCCAAACCGCTTCCTGTAAAGCAGGAGGTCGCAAGGTGTCACAAGGTGTCACAACTCGGCCCGACTGGCTGCTCGCCAGCGGGCAGGAAAACTGAGGTTTGACTTTGGCCAAACAAACCAATTACATAACTCACCTCAACATTTTGGCGAGCCCCACCCCGAGCTGCCCCAGGCCGCCTGCATCAGACGGAGGGAGAGAAACACCGGGGTTCATCACAGTGCACAAATTGCCAGCGGCCGATAAGCATCAGTGCTCGTCTCCATGGAGACTGAAGGGGCCGAGTGACTGAGGCTGCTGCGTACCTGTAATGAGCACCTTGGGGTGGTCCGTTTCGGAGAAGGACACGGAGTGGAAGCTGGCATCAGAAGTCACCTGCCGAGGGGAGAAGCTGATGTTGCGCACGGCCACTGTCAGGGGCTGGCAGCCGCACCCCGGGGTGCCGAGCAGCGCCTGCTTGGCCACCTTGCAGAGGGATCTGATGACAGGCATGCTGGTACCTGCGGTGGAGAGAAGAAGAAGAAAAATACAAGTTCACACTTCAGGGTGAAGTCTCTAGAATTCCACGCAGGAGGGAAAATAGGTCCCCCCCCCTCCAAAAAATGAGTGTTTGACTGCCATCTTCTGGTGGCCACTTCAAGAACATGAAGAATGTTTTGGTTACGGCATGAAGTTCTGTAACCAAACCTCAGGCGCCGAGGGGACGACGGGGAGAGGACGGATGGGGGGGGGGGGGGGGGGGGCCAAACCCCCACCCAGGGAGAAGAATAAAGGCACTTTTTTTCAAATGCATCTGCAGCAAAATGGCGAGAATTGTAAAGCAAAGGTGACAAAAGGCCGCAGCTGACACGCTGCGCCAAGCGGGGCCACGTAGGCTTCACTTAAATGCAAATGACGGGCCTTTGTTGCCAAAGACGCGCAACGGAGCGCCCGAGCGCGCATTTCAATCGAGTAGACGGACTGCGCTGGAATATTTATAATATAATATAATCGATATATATAATATAATATAAATCAATATATATATAGCCATGCATTTAACTTAGAAGAGCTTCAGAAAAGATGGAAAGTCCGTGCGTTAAAAGCAGCTTTCAGCCTTTTGTCGTTTAAATAAGTTGACAGTTTAAAGAGGGTTTAATCAGACGCAGCGGAGCCTATTTTTCCATTACACATCATTTCAAACGTGGACTTACCGAGAGCCGTGCGAGCTTCCCAAAAAGAAAAAGGAATGAAGAAGTGGACTTGAGCGCATTTATAGGGCCCCGCCTTCATCGGCAGCCAATCAGGAGAGAGGGCGTAAAGGACGAAAGCAAAACAGTGCCAACAAGCACAGGTCGCAGTGACAATATTTGGAAATGTTTTATTCTCATTGGGAGAAGAATGAACTCGTTTAATCTAGATCCGTCTTATTATGGGGGAGAAAGCAGCAAAAAATTGCAAAATTTTGTGTAAAAGGGGGACTCCTGCGGGACATGATGTGACCCCGTCTGCACTTCCCTGCACGCAGGGCCGCTGACGTCATTTTCCACGTGGACTGTGTATGGCGGAGACGAGCGGCCCCCGGAGCGTGACGCATTTTTGAATGAGTGAGAACAAACGCTCTCTGAGATATGAGGGATCTTTAAAATATAGTTGGTATGCGAGAAGAGGGTCCAGGCAAAAGAAACACAATGCCCGAGCAGTCTGCTTATATTCTATCATAAGATACTAGTATATCATACTTATTGTATATTTAATATGATGAGCTCAACGCGTCAGGGGTCTACAAGTCATATTATATGTAATGATAAAATCATAATATATGTATTAATGATAAATCTGCTGGTAATATTACATGCACAATACAACGAAATAATAATCCTATTGTATATAATATAAAGAGCTCAACGCGTGAGCAGTCTGCTGCACAACACAGTAATATACAAAAGAGGAGAATATTAATAAAAGTGATCGGGGTACAGACAAACTAATTGTAGCATGTACGTCTGAATCTAATAGAGGAGCCGTGCGGGTCGTCTCACCGGTCAGTCTTCAGGACAAAAGACGCAGTAGAAAGTGGTGTCTGAGTGTCTCGGGCGGTGAGATGAGTCCTCCTCTCGGGCTGCAGCGCTCTCCGTTGCGGGCGATGCTCGTGTTATCTCCGGCCGTTGTTGCATCAGCTGCGCTCTCCGGCTATATATCAGCGGCCATGTGGTTTCAGGGGGGCGGGGGAGGGAAGCCGGCTCGCCCTCTGATTGGCGGGGGGCCGGAGGTGCGGTCCTCCCTCACAGACCACGCCCACCGAGAGTCAGCCTCAGGCTGGACGCGGTGCTTAGTGCGTGCGTGCACTACTGGCGGTCAAACCGAGGCCACCCTGAGGCCATGTGTCACACCCTATTTTATTAGAACAGGGACTCGGCTCCTTAATGGGCTACATGTTATGTTAATCAATTATTACAGGCAGTACAGTACATATCTTTTTTTAAATCAATATTTATTATATTATTAATATACAATTCATTTTAGTGTGGCTTCATTGAAGATTTATACAAACCCAAGCTGTCTCATGTGTCTCTCAAATTACTCGTTTTGATTCAGTGTCATTACTCAGCGAGACAAATAAAGATGAATTTAACTATTTATACATTGGTACAGATAGATATCACAATAATGTGATGTCCTGTAATGTGTCCCCCTCGGTGCGGGGGCCCCTGCTCGCCACCACTCAGTGATGCAGACGCATGTTTCCACTGTAATGGCGGGTGACGCAAAATTTTCTCACACCGTCGTGGCTATTTCGAAGAGTTACCAAACACCGAGCCAAACAACTCGCTGAATAAGTTGCTAATGACGCGGTGACGAAACGATCTTCCGATCAGGGGACCGGGGAATAAATAGCCAGGCGACAGGTGCCTCGTGGAGGCGGCTGATGGCAGCCGGTGTTTACTGTGGAGCCTCCGTTTTCTCGCCATTCTGGCCTTTGGGAAGTCGAGATTCTGAAGAATTCATGGCTGAAAGCCCGGAGGGCGTCTTTTGAACAACAACAAAAAAGAAGAAGTAAAACTGGGTCATCTCACGGTCATCAAGTATCCTTTTCCTCCCGTGTTTTACGGGAATGAAGAGCGGATCATTTGATATTGTCAGCATACAGTGCGTGATGACGGGTGCGGGGGGGGTGCGGGGGGGGGGGGGGATCTTAAGCCCACCCGTTCGCTCGCCGCTATCAGAGGCGTCAACCTCGTCGGCCCTCCTCTCTCTACTGGTCACAGAGCCAAAGGGAACGTACACAAACCTCGATAACAATAAACGGGTGTAGCTTCATTGCTGGAAAGTGAGAAGTCAACTTGAGTAATCTTGAGTAATGGTTTCCAAACCATTTAGTCTGTTAGTCTTTATTTTCCCCAGAAGGATGACTCTGGCTTTTTTCTCTTATTTTTGAGGGCCATCAAAAATCATTTGGTTGTGTCACCAGAATGAAAATGAAAACCTCTTTTACATCTGCAGAAAAGACATTTCAGGTCATTCTCGTTCTCCTCGTGGAAGTATCCACATCCTAAACTTTGGTTCTAAATGCTGCTTTTACCTGACTCAGGAAAAAGTATATAACCATTACTAGAAAAATGTAAAGTAAAAGTACTCATTCTGCAGTGAAAACTATTGTCTACTTTGGTGGAGAAATTTGAATAGTGAAACATGAAAAAAGCTGTCAGACAAATGTGGCAAAGTACAATATTTACCTTTGAGATAAGGGACGAAGTACAAGCAAAGTCTGACTTAATCAAATGTTCATTTCAATAATCTTGTAAGACCAAAAAGCTCAATAAACATTTAAGTGGTCAAACATCTTTTGTGCTATACTTTTTTTTAATGGCCTTAAACGTAATACAAAAACATTCATCTTACAGAAACAGTGATTACCCAAAGGTACATTTTGAATTATGATTTAGCGGTAAGGCCTTTCACAAACATCGTTGACGTTGGCAAAGCAACAATCATTAAGAGATAACATTAAGCAAAATGCCATTACCTCGATGTAATGCATTGTTCAATTCATGCACACACACACGAAGCACATGTGTGAACAGGGTGTATTCTTTTTGGCAAGAGGAACCATGTATATGGTACAGCTATAAACAACATTCCCTTTATAAAGCATTTCAATGTAGTGGCTGGAATCAGTCCACCATATAGTGTTTATCAAACAATTTGTGAAGCAAAACAGATGAAATGCATCGAGACGACGTGGACACAAGTAAAGAAAATACAATTTCATACGGGCAAAATCAACACAATAAAGAGACTGACCCGGGACGACCGCTGTGGATTTAGTTTAACCCCATAGACACCATTTATAATGACCGTAAAGTGCAGCATTAAGCTTTAATTATCCCGCGGACTGAAAGCGGCGCTTTAACGTTACCATGCCAACAGGTTTATCTGCTTCCGTGTTTTAATGAGACAACAGTGTGGTGAAAATATTCACTTTGGATGCACGACTGATGTCATTTACGCTGTAATGCCTCCAGTTTCTTGGTGATATATTGGCATTTTTTAAACATTAAATAGTCACATTGCCAAATATGACGGTAGCTGGTAAGCACTGACCACAAAAAGTTCTAATCCCGTCCTTCTGATAGTGTCCATGCCTTTCACACAAAGTGCAGCAGTATTAGATCGTCAAATAAAAAACAGCAAATATGCATTTTGTTTATTAATGCGCTATTGTTTAGTAACTTTAATTACCAAAATTGAAATGAGTCTTTAAAAAGGAATATCCCACAAATTTGATCATCCAACGTTATAAGCGCACAAACCTCTGTGTGATCAACTCATTACTTGTATGACCAACACGGCCACTGTTACTGTGAGGGAAACAAACAGAAGCAGGCAGGTGAACATTCATTAGGTAATCTTGTGTGTATTGGAGCGCGTCCCGTACACAGAAAAAGGTACAATGTTCAGCCCCCCCCCCCTCTCATTGATGGGGATAACTCGACCTACGCTTATTATGTCATGTCTCATCACGGCGCAAAGTCACATCCTGCCCACATTACGTGTTGCCATAGTTACTCTGCAGTGCTCGGGTAGCGCGTACGTTAAGCAGGACGTCTGTAGTACACTTCCTCCGGATTGAGACATTTTGAGAAATGGACTCTTTCTTCATGCACAGTAATATACATTTGCCATTTCATCTTGCGGTAGGTTGTAAACAGTTTAGAGAATATCAGATTAGTTTATGAATCAGAGCGCTCTTTCTGCGTCACGTTGTCTGTGTGAAGTTGGTTGATTTTAAACTTTAATCTGGGTTTGTTGCTTCACCATTTTGTATCTGCGAGGGAAACCAAAATGTTCCATCATCAATCACATACAAAAACCCCAACAAAAAACAAACAGACATTTTGTATGATAAATTCTCACTTAACCAAAGCCTAAAACTGGGACATTGATCCGTTAAAGTATTTCATTATATATTTACACTTTCTTTCCTTCAGCTCGCTCTGCCTCTAAGGCGTCTGCAACAGACGATCTTCCGTTTCCAGCTGGGCCAGCTGCCGGCGCAGCTTGTTCACTTTGCTCTGAAGCTCCTTGTTGTATTCAATTATGTGCACCATTTCCTCGTAGGCCTCGTCCTGACACCTGGAGGAGCGGTTCCAACGGAGGAACACTCCTGCAACAGAGAGAACCACACAAATAAAAACAAACCCCCAGTCGCAAAGAGGCTGCTTTCTCTCTGTGTTCTGTGACGAGAAACCGCACAGACAGAAACCGCGCTGGCGGTTCGGCGTTGATCTGAACGAAAAACACCCGTGAACGTTCATGCCGTCAAGTGGCGACGACACGCAGCCTCCGTTCCTTCCTTCCTCCCCCTGTCTGCAGGGCGGTAGGTGGGTGGGGGACTTCGGGAGGGGCCTTCGCGGAACTGAGATACTGGTGAAACCAGTGTGAGCACATAGATCTGCCGTGTGACTGGAATGTCCCACGCAGCCGGGAGGTGACTCGTCGGGTCACAAGTCAACAGAAAGTAAGCAGTTGTTGGAATAAATGCATGTTTGATTGGAGGCTAGAAGTAGCAGGACACACACACACACACGCTGTTAACTGAGGGGACAACGTGTGAGTTCATAAAACAGCCATTGCTGACAGGATTTGAGAATCATTTCTTTGGGGGATCACGACGTAAATACCAATACGAGAGAGACGCCAGCGGCTTAAGATCCCCACGACCAATAGCTGCCCCGGGGGAACGCGCCATTTGCCCCCAAAAGCAGGTTGTCGGTTGCATTTTATCTGCTTCAGTAGCTCTCAGTGTTCATATAGAACGAGGGAGTGGCTCTGACGCGTCAGGCAGGAAGGGGGGCCCCTCAAAAAAGCTTCGCTTGAACCCAATGACCCCTCATCGGTGTAGTTGACCCCCCTACTCTTCTTTGTGAATGGCTCCGGCTTTGGGCTGTTTGGGGATTCAGCAATTTCAAGCATTGGCTCCGCCGGGGCTTTTTCCTTTAAAACGGCACCCACGATTATTCAAATGAATGCCATCCTTTTCATTTATTCATTTTCAGAAGAAAAACTAAAAGAAAATGTATCGCCTTCACCATTTGTGTGATGTGATTACCCCTCCTGCATTCCAAACAAAGCCCCTGAAAATAAGTCAGAATTATTTGGTACATTTTGTAGTCCCAGAGTGTAGTCCCAGAACTTAAATGTTGGAAAAATGCACTAAATGTTAGAAAAATGCTATTTTTTTTTCTCCTTATAATTGATTCCATTTCATGCTTGTGAATAGACCGTGAATAGAAATCCCAAAGAGGACCATCTGAAACCGCTGGAGAGAAGCTCTGCTTTGAGCCCGACCGCCACGTCGTTACATCGAGGTTAAGTTTCCTCAAGAGCCCGCGGAGTGAAAAGAACGGTATGCGTGCACGCCACCCACGCAGCATCATCATCACGCAACCATCTCTGCATCACCGCCTGCTCATTTAGCCAACCGGCTTAAACTAAAACAAAGTGATCAAGTAGTTTCATGCAGTATTTGTATCATACAGACGGCGGTTATCCGGACGGTCGATATTTTGTGTTGCAATATAAGCCGTCAATTATTAAATGAACAATGTGAGATTGCTACAGGCAAGGAGGGAAAGACTAACCCGCACATGACCGCTAACTGCTTGCTAGCAGTAAACAGTCACCGAGCCACTGTGCTCATATGTCCCCATCCGTGCTATTTTAAGAGAAACCAGCAAGCAAACTCCCTCATCCAGCCGCCTGCCAAGCAATCGCAGCAATGTCAGAAATGTAAAAGGTGCCCGAAGGCAAATGGGGGTAAAAAACGGCCACGTACAGAGTTTGACCTCTTCATGTAACGTGGTTCATAAAAACTGGAATGAGTAGGCTGTGGGTATTTATAGGGTCTGAAAAGGGTCACGCGGTTTGTTGGCGGTGCAGACAGTGAAATCGATGGCGCCCCCTTCTGCCGGGATTACGGAATGTCACGAGGGATGAAAACGTGAACATCTGAGCGATCGCAGCAGCATTTTGCACGCCGGTGTGGAGGTGTGATTTAAAAGGCTTTCAGTCGATGTCCTTACTTTAACACCACAGTAACCCCAAAAGGGACCCGGCCGGCACTCGGTGTGGCTCCCGTTTAGTGTTTTGGCGCCGGCTTCCCACAGCTCCGACTGAAGCCCACATGTGACCCAATTCAACACTATGCAGCCGTTGGGATGGAAGTAACCTGTAGTGAAGTCACCCACCCTGCGTGGGTAATCATGTGACGTGATCCGGGTGCGTTTTGCACAACATAAAGCTGCTTATTCAAAAATCTCCTTTCATCCATGAATAATTTGAACATTATAACATTCTACACATATTAAGATTCAAAACATGCACTCAGATAAAAAGCCTAGGAGTTCATCCTTAATTAGTAGCGTGTTTGAAAAAAACAATGGTCACCTGTCACCTGACGTGTGTGAACTGTGTAACAATTGTATCAGGCGTTCACCAAGGGTTGATTCAGTAAACAAAGACGGACTGGGTCTAAGGCCGGGCCCGAGCTTAAACAAACAGCGCGCGTCAAAAAAACCTGCCATGTCACGGAGCAGCGAGCGTGCAGTCTCACAGGAACCGGCGGTCGGTGTTAAGCCAGCCCATCGCGGTTGCAGCCTCCTCTCGGATGCAAATCGACAAAGCTCAATTTGTTTAAACAGCTGCCGGTTTTAGCCGCCGACTGAAACCCGCGGCGTCTTACTAATGTGTTGGACCAACGCTACGCGCTCTCATTTTAGGTCCCCTCTCGTGCGTGGTGACTTCTCCCCCCCCCCCCTGTTGTTTACCTTCCCACAGCAGCAGACTCTGAGGGGCGACAGAGGGCCAGATCACCAGACTGTTGGCCTCGTAGAGCGGGTTGGTCAGACGCTGCAGTTCCTGGGGCCGGTTCACCCACGACCAAAGGGACACAGTCTTCTGAGGCAGAGACAGTTTGACTCTAAGAAACGGGTGTTAAACAACAGTAAACTGATGAGAACACAAGTTGCCTGCGTAACTATGACGCTCCTCTGGAGGAACAGGGAAACTCGCAGCAATGTGAAGAGGAGGCTTAATGGGAAAATCCTCGGACCCACCTCTCGGCCGTGCCGTTTCCCAGGAAGGTGCCGAACTGAGAAGCGTACGCGTGTTCAAAGACCAGCACCAGGAAGCTGTCGCTGAACTCAAAGGAACACGGGAACTGGCGGACGATCTGCCACACACAGTCCAAGAACAGGAGGAAGACGGGGGCCTCTTGGCGAGGCTTGCTGTTGGAGAAGGCCGACTGGGCGCAGCGCTGGTGGAACGGGTGACCCGCCTGGGACAGATGGTCCAAGAGGTGAACTATGTGATTTCATATTTGTAATCTGATTCGATGTGACATTGTGGCCGGGCTTCCCAGGTCAAGTCGCTTTACCTGAAGCCACTCTCGCTCCACCAGGCCCTGGAAGCCTCGGATGGTCCTGCAGGCCGGGTCGAGGATGATCTGAGCCAAGGAGGTCACCTGCAGGGTGGAGTCCGTCCCCTCGGTGCCGTGAACGAGGACCGACGCTCCCTCCCTGAGACAAACGCACAGAGTCACTGCCACCTGCTACTCCAAGTAACACGGGTTCCACATCAACCGCTAGAGATTATGCTTTGCGAGTACTGGGCCAGGATCAACATTACATTGCCTCACCTGTCGATACACTGGGCAGCCAGGCAGGCGGTGGTGAGGATCTCTTTCACGTGCGTCAGCCAGTTGGAAGCCTCCAGCTTGCTTAACCAGCGGTCCATATTGTGCGACTGGTCGTTAAGCGCCTCGACTAGCTTTATCAGACTCTCCTGGAGGATGTTGGACCTGGAAATCACATTTTAAAATAGTGCCAATTCTTAATTTCGAACATATATATAATATATAAAGAGTATGAATAACAGTCATATTAAAAGTAGAAAAACACAAAGTCGCAGTCTTCTCAAACTCAACACAAAGATCACTTTATTACTTTACGGATACGCTGCAGCCCTTCCCCCCGAGCGCTCACCTTTCGATCGCCTTGGAAATCCTCCTCCATTGCGGGTAGTTCGCCTCGGACTCGAATCCTCCACCTCGAGCTTTGGCCTGCTGGGCGACGTTGGCGGCGCGCGTGTCGATGATGTAGCCACGTTTGCCCGGTCGCAGTGTGGCATTGATCAGCTTCTCGTCTTCCTTACAGCGGCGCCCGTTGGTGCCGGCCAGAGGCTGCCCGGCCCGCATCATCACCTGAAAGTGGAGGCGATGAGAGGGGATTTTCCCAGAAGAGGCTAGAAGAACACTCTGCAGCAGAGACAGAATCCTTTTGAACTCACCATGCCATTCTTCTTGTGGTAGTAGCTAAGCACTGGAAAACGGCCACCATGACGGAAGGTGGCGACTTTCCTCAGAGTGTCATCATCAACACCTTTGGGCACTGCCACTAGAGGAGGGTACGATGCACATACACTGAAGTCCTTGTTGACTTCACTCAGGCGCCACTCATCCGTCTGATGGGAGACACGGTGATGGGTTGAGGGAAAAGGTATTACGGCACAGCAGACGGCCGAGAGAATGCAAAGTGTAAACATTTTTGGACGCTTATCCGGCGCGTACCATGGTCTCCAAATCTTTAAAGGCATTCTGTGGAAGAAATGAGTTCCAGCCATCTTCTAGGACTTCGAACATGGGCCGGTAGAAGAAAGGGTACATCAGGGAGAGTATGTCAAGCGTGGACAGAGCCTAGAGAGTAAATAATATGCGTTAGTCAATGTAGAATCTTATTTAAAAACGGGAATATGCTACGGATTGCCGAAGTGAAATTTATGCAGTTTTTTCACCTCGATAGAACTGGCAATGTTGAGACACTCCTCCATGCCAGGGATGTCGAGCTGGATCACCCTCAGGTCTTTGCATTTGACGATGATCCTTCCCTGAGACCCCAAAAATCTAAAGGGAAATTCGTATAAAAAAGTTACGGCTTAACAAATTCAAAGAAAATGATAGAATGACTGTGGGATTGGCCACAATGTTTCTCCTCGTGTTGGTTTTTGAGTTTCCCCATTGTTGGCTTTTATGGACACTCATGTCTGAATTCTCATGTCTGAGTTGGTTTCCGGTAGCTGCACATAGCAGGGACAGTGCGTTAGTGTGTAAACATTAGCTTGGGCTGTTATTTCTTATTTTTCATATAGGCAATAAATATTTAATCCTCAATACGGTTTACAGCTCCAGCAGCCTTCTCAACCAAGCAAAATGTAGAAAACACCACAGTGACTCAAACTTCCTGCCCGCGGTTTCAGATCCTGTCTCCACTGTAGAAGTAAAGCGTTGGCGCCCTGAAGGAAATGTGGCAGTGAACTCCTCAGATCTGGTGCAAGCAGTCAAAGCTGCATTTAAGAAACAGCAAACAAAGAAACCTGAAATCCGTGTCCCCTCTCCTCGCTGCTCAAAACGAATTCACCGAATAGGCGTCACAGCGACCCGCCTCTGTTCTCAGAATGGGTTTCATTCAGAAGCCACACGATGCAAATCCATTGTGCAACGTTCCCTCTTTGTGTGAAGTCAACCTCTTTATTGTAACTGATGACACTGCAGTGTGAGAGTGGATAACCATTCCTGAATAACAATGAAGCGAGAAAAAAAAAAGGTGAGCGATCCTCACATCGGCTGGCAAGAAGTGAATCACCTTTTCTCTATGCAGTCGATGTTTGAGTGAAGCAGCCAAAGCTCCTCAGTGTTGTCCTGTCTGGAGGAGAGAATCAGGTGATGACCAGTCAAACACAGGGTGCCCTCCACCGTGGGCATGAAAGGTCGATGTAGGATAACCCCATCCACCCTGGGGGTCTTTATCAACTCGGCGAACTCCATGAACCTGCCTGCGGAGATAAAGACAGCTGGCAGCAAAAGAGATACGAGGGAAAGAAAGGACGATTAAAGCATACGGACAACGCGACAGATGTGTCCGTTAACGTCATTGCTGAGAAGACATAAAAACTCAGACCCAGCTGTGCTGCTTTTTTTTTAAAAACGTATCGGGTGAATCGATGTCAATTGACATTAAAGCGAAACACAGTAACAGTCTGTCAGGTAACCTTCGCTTAGTTACCTTGATTAAGGAAATGAAGCGGCTAACGCTAGCTAGCCGGCTAGCTAACCGTGACGGGGCGCACGAAATGTCCGTCAATTTTTATATTTACGTTGAAATTTAAACATTGTCCTGTAAATGTGGCGTAGAAAATAAACGCTTTTCATTGACGCCCAAGTGACTTGTCGTACGTTACCCGATTATCTTTACGTTGGATTTGTTGATGGGCGAGACTGGTCCGCTCACATAAACAAGCCGACTGGAAACAACTGATCGCAGCGATTTGCACCTCGAGTTCCCTAATTATTTTATAAAATCCTTTCCCGATGATATCGATTATTATTGTTATAGTGTGTGTTAGTAACAACTGCTCAAAACTAAAATGGCACAAGATGAGTGAGAGTAATATAAAAATAGAGCTTATTTTCGTTCATCTAGGCAGTAAAGTCAAACAATACAATTACCATGGACTAAATGCAATTACATTCTAGCCTTCGTGGTGGCGAAAAAGACATTCAGCATCAAGTAGCTTGGTCATTCCAGAGCAGTGCTTTAGTTTAATGTGTTATTTTGTACCGAAGATCGGTCATCAAAGGGGAAACCAACAGAATTCCTCATTGCACAAAGCATATTTGAACATTTCTGTTGCATAGGCCATATCAGGCTGCTTTTTATCGAGGTTAATCTATACATATTCTATTCTACCTCTGCTAAACGAAACACCTCACACTATCTAAAAGGGACACTAGGTGGGGACATTTTGAAAGATGTTTTGATGTTAGCTCACTAATCTACATTGATTTAAAATGTCTGACAGATTAGAAATGAATAGGCACGAACGTCAATGCCACATTGATAACCTAATATAGAAAAAGAGAAAATAAACTGCCAACTGTACATACAGTGTTTCTAGACTATGGCAGCTTAGTGAAGTAGGGTTACTTGTATGATGAAGGCCAAGCTCATCCAAACAGCTCAAGAGCAGCAAAGGATCCTCGATCTAATAACTAACACAATTGAATGAGTTAGGCAGATTGAATGAGAATAACACACAAATTAAAGGAGACGAAGGGACTTCAGGGTAGAAATGAGCAGAGTGGTATTTGTTTTATTTATGTATTTGAGAGGAAGTGTGCACAGCTTCTTCATAGCTGTACCGGAGTTAGATATGAGCTCATTAGAATCTGCAGTCCCTGAGGGACGTATACTTGCCTTGGTTTTAGCCATCATTTGAATTTAAAATCAGAAAAGCAGGCTCTCTCTTATGTTACTTGGTACAGAGCTCCGGAAGTTTGTTGCTCTCATTCAGAAGGCGGATGTTCCAAACTCTGTTGATTTGTGCTGCATCACACAGTCGCTTCTGCTGCTCACCCATGTTGTCCTCCCAGTATCTGATAGGAAATATCTCAACAGAGCAGGAGACGGATCAGTGGGCTGGTGAATCACGTAGGATCCTAACAACCCGCTGATGTGCTCCATCAACTGATATCCGCTCATTGCCAAGAAATTAAAATGGATTTTTTTTTCAGTCTGAAACTCCAGACTTATTTTTGGGGGCGATTTTGTCTTCATTTTTTGGGATAGCACCGAGGACGGCCCGCTGCGATCGCAAAGCAACACGCCAACCGCGAATGGGAGACTCCCTGAAGATGTGAACACTTTTGGCAAGAGCAGAAGAAGAAGAAGAAGAGCAGATGGGCCGGTTTGCTTCATGCACATCTCTGTCGTGGCGGTGTGTGCGCGTGCGTGCGCGCGTGTGTGATGTATTGTAAATCAGCGCAGTATTTGCTTCAGTTGCAGCCTGTCTGGGCTTCACAATAGATGGTTTGCTCTGGGCCTTTCTAGCCATCATCATAGAGACGGCACGTACGGACGCCGGGGTTTAATTGAATGTGAAGCCCGGCGTTGCTTTACAAGCCAAATAACCGCCCTTCCTCTGAGGAAAAGATGCTTTGGTGTTGCTTTTTATCGTCGTTTTTTTTAAAGAAGATTAAAAAATTCAAAGCAAATATGCAGTTCCCAGTCCAACGCAGGATACTGTTTGACAGAATGCTTTGACAAATGAACCGGAAGACGATGACTTTAACAGACTGTCATAAAAAGTTCAGTTATAAAAATGTTAACCTTTATCTCAGCAGTAAAAATGTTGAAAGAGTCAACACAAAATGTGTGTAGCTGGCTGCGGAGGGAGAAATTTGAACAAACATGGCAAACACATAACTGTTTGTTCCATTAAAAGTACATTGGATGAGTAACCAGCAGCGTTTAAACTGATTAAGTATGACGAGTTTCTACATGCGAATGCGTAACGCAGATCAGAGGTTGACATTTCCCGATGAGTATTTTTGGAACATCATCCAGCAAACTTGAAGGATTGACAGTTTGTGTTCCCACACACCTACACATTACTCACCGCCGCTTTTCATTCAGCTTCTCCTGAAGACAATGTCTCATCCAACCTTCTGTTTCTAATGGCTTTCTTGTTGTTTGGAAGTAGAAGTAAGTGGACCATGAGAGATGTCTTGAAAATTTTTCTAAACGGTTTGCAGAGATGAATTTTACGTGTGGGACTTTTTCTTTGTTTTCAACAAGCAAACACACACATAATGGTAACAAATTATTCAGACATTGCTCATGCAACTTAGTGAAATGCTCCTGTTTTCTCTCAGCAGATGCGGTGCGTCCGCTTCCACGGGACCAAAAGGTCAAAGCGTCAGGGCCTCTGAGACGGACACTTCTGGCTCAGCTCCGCACTCTCGCTCAGATCCAGATCCAATCAGGCGAGCCGGAGCGGATCAGCGAGGGGTGAAGCGGACGTGAGCCAATCAGTCTCACGCCGGTCGCGGGCCCCGTACGGCAGCTCAGTCTAATCACGGCGGCGCCCGAGTCTGGAGCGGAGCCTCCCGGTGCTTTGCATGCCGGTGGGGAAAGCGTCACTTTTTCAGGGCACCTGCCACACACGCCCTCCTGCAAAAAGGGTGTTAGCATGAGCAATGTCCCCTTTCCTTTCCTTTTGAAAAGCACCCCCTGGTTTCTATCACTTTTAGATGCAGTTTTCGCTGTCAATTTGGGCAGCCTGATGAGATTTGACAGGAGCGCTAACCTGATGCATGTCATTTAGCACAGCATCTTTTAAATGCTTTTACAGTTCAAGAACGCAGGGACTCTCCCTCCTCTCAAACCTCAAATCCAGTCAGTTTCTTTTTTGCCTTCCAGTAAAATCCACCCAATCGGAAGCGTATACAAATAAACAACATCGCCTGTTTTATATTTCACATTGTGCAGAGGGAAGTCAACATGGCATAGCCACCTCAACGTTTTGGTTATCCTCAGCAGCACGAACACTCGCACAAAGGTGTGTCATCGGCTTCTCATTGCAGCTTCTATTGATCACACGCTCACACCTGTGACGCACAAAACATAAAACAGCCTGGCCCACAATGCATCATTGATTTGCTCAACCTGAGCACTTCGCTCCCAGGATGCAGGATTAACATTAGAAGAACAGCTGGGCAGAAAGCATTATTATACCCTCTGCGGGTTCATTGTGTGAAAATCACGCGCACACCATCGGATTTATTCATCGTTCCTTCAAAGGCCTCTGAGTTTTTCTTTTGACTCCTGCCTTGCATTCTTTTAAAGTCCGCTCTTATATTTATCCACTCGCTCGGCTCCGCACACACACACACACACACACACACACACACACACACACACACACACACACACACACACACACACACACACACACACGTTAGTCCTGTGGCTTGTTTTTGTACAGAAAGATTAATACCGGTTTGTTGCCTGGTGAGGTTGTTTGTGACAAATTAGTGTTTAGATAATTAGAATGGATGTCATCTTAATAATAAGAACAAGTGATTATCATTAAGGCGTTTTCTGTGTTTAACTGCTTGCCGTCTCCAGTGGATATTAAAGCTGAGTGTCCATCTGGTGTGCTGCTCAAAAAGCAGCGAATGGGCCTGAAGGACCTGAGGAAGAAGAGAAAATGAATGCTACTCAGATGAAACAGGATACCACAGACTCCTGTGTGTATTCACGCTAGTGGAGAATTTCTTCAGGTCATATCGGGCCTGGAGGAACGACTCTACCTGATTCTTTTCCTGCAGCGTAAATGTGATTCTTTTTTGTGACTTCTAAAACAAAGGCTTTTCCTCTCACACTGCTCACTGAAAAAGGTAATGATCGAGCAAGACAGGTGATGGTTTTAAAGGAACTCTGAAAAGTAGCCAATCTTATACAATGTATTTGGAAAACAGATGATGTTAATTCCCTTTTGATTGCCCTGAATAATAACTGAAGAGAAGCAAAACTAACCTGTAACTTTAGGCCCCCTCCTGATTGTTGAAAAACTTCCAAGGACCCCCTTCCCAAATAAATAAAACACACCATGACATAATGCAAACGTACATATCCAGATACATGATAGTGTGGTGATATAACTGTTCATTGAAATGATGCTTTGTTTGAAAGACAATGTTTTTTGAAGCTAAAAAACAGCTTTGTGGGTTACTACGTGTTTTTTTTAATTTATTTTGCAGTTGAGAATATCACAACGGGAGAAAACATATGGCTGATTCGGTGTGAAAGCATTAAAGACCTGGTCCAGTGAACCCATCAGAAATAATTAAGTGAGTTGGTCCAAAAGAATCTCTTGCCCTACAGAGACAAGAAAGCTTCTCCTCTCTGTAATGTGTTGACATTTGTTGCTCCTGTGTGAGTCGTCATTAGTCACAAAACCAGCGGAGGTGAACATTGATGTTAACATCAAGGTCTCCCGCCGCTCAAAATGTGTTTTGTTTCAGCGTTCAGACTGAATGTTTCACACCAGAATGCAGATTTAACGATTTCTGATTATACTGTAAAAATACAAAAGGCACAAGATCAGTATTCAAGACCAAGCAGAGTCCCTTTATTAGTTTTAAAACACGTCTCGAGGGGATTAGCGAGACACCCAGGCAAAGATCTTGTCATTATGCACTGATCAAATCTTAGTTTCCTTTCAGATTAGTGGAAAGAAACCACGTGTAAGGTGTTTGTTCTATTACTCTCTGTATGTGATGAGGTTTTTCTCATGCACTCCTTCACATACAAAGGCCACACTGTCCGGTATTTCTCAGATCCGGCGTCCAACGGGGCGAGCGGAGCAGATCAGTAAAGGGGGGGAAGTGGACATGAGCCAATCAGTCTCACATTGGTCATGACCCCGGTCTAATCATGGTGCATGTTGAGTCACTGGTGCTTTGCGTGCCGGAGCGGAAAGCTTCTCTTTTTAGTAAATGCTTAACCCCTTGGATGCGGCAAAAAAACAAAGAAATGTTGCAGAAAGTGTTTGAATATTTTTAGGAATATATAAGAGACATATATAAGTTTACATGTTGACCATTTGGTGACTTGAAGTGTAGCCTACAACTGTTCGTTCATGCAGGTAGAACTTGTCTATTCCCTTTAGAAATAAAACCGTAATAAGAATATTGACAACATTGTAGTCCCGGGAGAAAGAATAGCAGCCACATGGTCATTGTGAACTCTTTATTGAGCGGTAAAGTCAGTGGAATCGTGTTTTTGTTCCTCCGTCCGCCTACAAGAAAAGACAGTGTGTCACTGTGACTGATTCAAATGTGCAAATAACATTAAAGACTTGGTGGTGATCAGGCATGTTGCATTACATCATGCAGTCGCCTCCTCGATATTTGGGGGCTTCATATAAGACACTAGATGGCAACCACGCTGGGAGGGAGATGTCTGTGTGTGTGTGTGTGTGTGTGTGTGTGTGTGTGTGTGTGTGTGTGTGTGAGCCAGAGAGAGAGAGTGTGAGCCAGAGAGAGAGAGTGAACGGAGGGGAGAGATGGGGGGGATGAATAACGTCGGGGTGGGACACTGGAGGGTCGGTGTGCTCATGGCACTCGGCTTGCAGCTGGACCAGAGAGCTGCGCGGAGGGAAAACAACTGCGCAGCAAGGAACGAGATTGATACGCAGGTAAAAAATAAATAAAAAATGCTCAGCCGCAGTTGGGATGCATGAGTTCCCAATTAAATTACCCGAACTCGTATTTTAGATTACCGTCACCAGGAGCAAATAGATCCGCAGCAGAGGGGAAGCAAGGCGAGATGCGCTGCGTCCCCGGCGCCGCCGGCGCGCTATCCGAGGACACAGGGACCGACAGCTGCGCACGTACACCCCGCTTTTAGATGGCTCCAACATTTGGGGTGCAAAACAGGTGTCAGGGAAGTGTCGTCACGAACCCCGGAAGCCGGAGGAGGTGGGAACATCAGAGGGAAAGATGGCAGCGAAATCCGATGGTCGCGGGGTCGTCACCGGTTTCGCCCAGCTGCACAACCTGGACGAGGTGGTGGGCGCCGGAGAGGACGACACTCGGAACAGCAGCTCGTTCCACATCTGCCACTGCTGCAACACCTCGTCGTGCTACTGGGGCTGCCGGAGCGCCTGCCTGCATTACCTCCGGGGGAAGGGGAAGGGGAAGGGGGGAGATGCGGCGCGGCCACCGCAGGAGGAGCGCCTCTGGCTGGACTGCCTGTGGATCATCCTGGCGCTGCTGGTCTTTTTCTGGGACGTGGGGACCGACTTGTGGCTGGCCGTCGACTATTACCACAAGCAGGACTTCCTGTGGTCGGGCCTGACCCTGTTCTTCGTTCTGGTTCCCTCGGTTCTGGTCCAGATCCTGAGCTTCAGGTGGTTTGTGCAGGATTACACCGGAGGGGGACTGGGCTCCGTGGAGGGGCTGAGTCGCAGAGCCACGGCCACTCTGCAGAGAGACAGCTGCTGCCGCCTCTCTGTCTGGGTCTGGCAGACCGTCATACACATCTTTCAATTGGGACAAGTGTGGAGGTAAGACAAACTTCCAAGTTCTGCCTTTCGGGCGAATCAAAAGCCACCGCGTTCCCAGCGTCCTCTCGCTCCCCCCGCAGCCTCTCACCCTTTCCTAACCTCCTCTTGACTGTCACCTGGTGTAACCCGCCGTCGTGGACATGACTTGCGTGTAAAGCGGCACCGTGGTGGTGATGCCATTACGCTCGCCTCGCCGTCTCCACTGTACGTGGTGTTACACGCGGCTGCATTTTCAATGTATGCAACGAATTCAAAAGCACCAATTCCAGTGCCCTCGGCCAGATGCATCCACGCCGAAATGGCGTGAAACTGTGATTGTTTCCATCACGGTGCGTCATCGCGCCCGCGCGGGGTGGGAAAGAAGGATACTCGTTCAAAACCCTCCCTACACGCTAGTAGCCAAAGGCTTCCATGTGCGCGCGTGTGAGCGTGCGCGCGTGTGCGTCTGGGCGCGTGCCAGGCTCGGTCTCCTCAGTGCACCCCCCCCCCCCCCCACCCCCCCCGCTTAAAATACTCAAACTCTGCAACTGGAGGCCAGACGAGCATCTGTTTTTCGCGGCTCACATACAACTACCCCCCCCCCCCCCCCTCCCACACCCCTCCACAGACATGATGTCATCGATTCCTCTGCGACGCTCGACATCGTTGCCCCCCCACAAAAAAAGCGGGGGGTGGGGGGTACAAATGGATGCGTCGGGGGGGGGGCGCGGCGAGGCTCGAGGAGTACGTGCCCGCGCGTAATCTGTGGCATGCAGCGGCCACCGGCGTAGTAAGATGTGACACCGATGCGCTCAGCTTACTTACACCAACGGGAAGCTTCAGAGCAGCGAGTTGTTTTGGTGCAGACAGACGCAGTGGCTGGCATTTAATGTGTGTGTGTGTGTGGGGGGGGGGGGTTGTAACGCATGACGGCTGCTCTGTGAGGACTGCCAGGGGCTGAAAATAAATGTAAAACAGCGCATGAGAATCATTTTCAGTCGACATTTGCTGTGCTTTTTTTCTTCTTTTTTTTTGCATCACACGCTGGGTCTGACCACCATGGACCACTGATTCTGTTATTTGTGTCTAACAGCTGTTTCCGTGGATTCTCTATGTGGCATGGTTGCGTTTTAGTCCAACGCATGAGGACATTGAGTGCCACAGGCCCTTACAGGCCGCAGGCTGAGATTACTCACATGCGTTGACGAAGAGTAAAATCTCAACTGAAAATCACTGACCTTTTTTAAAAAAAGAAAAAAAAAGGAAAAGCTATTTCCTAAAACCTCGTTTTACCCCCCCCCCCCCCCTGATGATTTAGTCTAATTATAAGACTAACTTCCTGTCCTCGTGGCTGTAAAGAGTCTCTGACTCCACACTTATGTTCAAGTTAAATTTGCGATTTGAACGACACTCTGCATTCCTCTTTGAGCTGCTGCACCTCGAGGCTATTTTATTGATTAGCTGCAGTTGTATTGGCTCACGTTTATTTACTCTACTGCGGTCTAATTGATTATGTTTGCTCATATCGGAAGTGGGAAGCAGATAGTGCTGGGAACTGTTGCACGTTGCCATCAGTTGTTTTGGTGGTTGTAGTGGTTGATGCATTAATGTCATTTGAGAGCATCTCAACATGTCATGAGACAGCTTCATGCGGTCTCCCTGGATGTGGCAGCGAGAGTCACACAATCTAACCCTACACAACTGCACAGAGAGTGGACGCACCAGAGGACAGCTGTCCAAAGGCGGCAAGGTCCATCTATAGTAACACCTCTGACCCTCACCAATGGACACGTTGTATCTGGTTCGTTCAGTTTGTTCAAAAACCTGCAACGACAATAACCATCGGCCCCAGTAAGAGGCCGTGTGACTGCTTCCTGCAGGAGTGTTTGTTGGTTATAATGGTAAAGGGTCGTTCAAACGAATGCATTGAAACTGGCTTATGAGGAACCCAAGTAAACATAACGTGTTGGTGTGTTTGTTGTGACAGCGCGAGGCCTGTGGCGAAGGATCGTCGGCCGGCCACTGTCTCCCCTCGGACTCGCTGCGCCTGGTCGCTGGTTCGGGGGGGGTTTTAGGGTCAAATATGCTCTTGTCAGCTTAGCGAGAGTTCACAACCTAAGACCCGCAGGGCTAACATTTGATATGGAGATTAGTAGCCAGTGTGAGAGGTCAAACTGCCAATAGGTGGCACGATGTTATCATTCTACTCTGTGTGGTGGCCAGTGAATCACACGGGCAAACGCTGCCTCCTTATGTCTCATCACTCAACCGTGTTTTCATTCCTTCATTCACTTTGCTGCCTTCCCCTCCGGGGGCGCCCGAGGACCCGACTCCATGACAGGATCCCCGCGCCGGCCCTCCGAGTCCCCCCCGCTTGTTAATTGTTGACAGAAAGAGGAGGATCGTCTGCAGTCCCACTCTGTCGCCGGGCCTCCGCAGCTCTGTCACGTCGTCCCGCCCCCGCGAATCACCGGCGCCGCTGACGCCGTCTCCCTCGGCTTCCTGGATTCCGCTCACATATGCTCAGGCGCACGCTGGATCGCACACACACACACACACACACACACACACACACACACACACACACACACACACACACACACAGGTCTCTCAGTGGTGTGACGGACAGCTTAATCAGTGAAAACGCGAATTAGCATTGGACTGAAAAATAACTTCTTCCGACATGGCATCGCCTGGAGGACGTCCACGAGGAAAGTTCTTTGTTGTTGGGAAATCCCTGCAGAATTTGGCCACTTCTTGTTTTTTTCTTATTCACTTTTAATTTGGGACAGCTTGATGTGACTCGATTTCATAAGACGTAATTCTTCAGCATCAATAACGTTTTTCAACACGGTTAACGAACATTGAGTCTCAAGCTGGAGAACATTTCGAAAAGAAAGTGAGCATTTTAAACCGAGTGTGGATGAAGTGGACATTTTGGAGGCAGTGAGGTCTAATGAAGACTAACGCCAATGTATTTTGGACATGCATCATGGGAAATGTTGGATCAAGCAGTTTTTGGAGCTCGACCAATACTAAAAAAGCCAGGAAAGTTTCCTTTTGTGATTCTCCCAAATTTACGGAAGCCTCCAGACGTTTATTGTACTTGAGATCCATGTCCGTTTAACACGTGGAGCGAGGGGGAGCTGGTCACCTTAGTTCCCCCAGTTGGTTTAGATCCTCCACAGACACCGAGCCACGATAAAGAGCTCTCCAGTGCTGAAATCCTCACTCAATCCCGGCGATAGGTTTTAATGCACTTTAAGCTGCTTTGTACCAAATTAAACTGAGTAGGATGTGTGTACACGAGAGTGTGTATTGATTCATATTGTCTCAGTGGGTTTCATACTGTGTCCTGGTGAAATCCGTTGCACAGCCTCAAAACAACAATGAGGTTATTTTTTGAGTGTGTATCATTTGAACGTCATATTAATTTCCCTTAAATAACTACAGGTTATACTGTTTAATTCTGTGTTATTTCCTGTTGTTTTTCACCTTGTTGCATTATGTCCATGATCACGTATGTGTGCAGAGTTAGTGCTCATTCGCCACTACACAATTCATTTAAAAACTGCGCCTTACACGTCAATAATCTCACATATGTCTCGTAAATCCCACTTCTGAAGCCCCCCCCCCCCCCCTGCACCCCCTCCTTGCGATTGTACAGCGTGTTTCTAACACCACAAACATGATGCTTGGATTAGGTTGAGTGTGCTCGCCTCGCGAGTCACACGGAGAAACCGCCTCATGTTTGACATCTGCCTCCGTCTCCTAGTGTGGTAAACATTAATACAGACTGGGAAGGAGTAGACAAAAGCCTGTCTTGGCCGGCCGGGCTGCTTGTTGTTGCCAAAAAGGTTTGTACACGCGGTGAGTCAAGACATTGAGATGATACAATGCGACCAGCTGCACCGTCGAGGAAAAAAACAACAACAAAAAAAAAACAGCTGACGGGGTGAAAGAGGGAAAAGACGAAAGCTCGGATGCATCGGCGACGACGATCCACGCGATTGTGCTTTGCGGCAAAAGATGAGTTCACCCACTTTGCTCTAAAGTCAAAGCATTGGAGTATTTCTTTGGGGAGAATGAAACGGCCGACTGACGGCTAAGTCCTACCGGGCTGCCGTACTCTCAGAAAATGAAATGTGTTTTCTTTGTTGAATGGCATACGAAGGAGGGTCTTGATGTTGGCTCACTTTCTTTGTATTCAGAAACACGTTGAAAATACTTGGAATACCATTCCATCAAGAGCATTTTATTCTACAGAGAACAAAAAGATGACACAGGGGCTCATAGGCCCGGACGGAAAACACTTATTCTCATCAAGCATTGTGTGTTATTTACAGACAGCATTTACACGTCTACTGCGGCTACGGAACATATCAGTGTAATGTTACTCATTTTCTCATTAGCACTGATAACAGGGGACAAACCTTTAAAGCCAGCGCCAAGAAAACCCCTAATTATGTGACGGCGGGGCCAATCAAAATGCAGCAGAGGAGAGGGGGAGGGAGGGAGGGTGGGGGGCTTCTCTGCAGCGCTTCACAGCTGGGGGGAGTAAAGAGACAGAAAGCCAACAAAATGGCCCAAATGAGCTTGGGTTTTTCTTGAGGGACTCAATTGCTGCTCAGGTTCGGTCATCAGATTTTCATTCCAGTTGTTTGAATACGAATGCTCCTCCTCTTAATAGACAGTTGAAGAACCTCGTGACGTGAGTGTCGTCGGCGAAACCTTAAAATAAACCGAGGAGCTGACATGTTGGCTGATTGCGATTGGCATTTCCGCCAGCCACTGGCGGCCGGGCTCAGACGCTTAGAGCCCAGTGCAGGGGGAATAAACGGGGGATGAAGAGCATATGCGACGCTTGGTGTAATCGCCTCGGGCCTGTCTCCTCAGCGCAACGCGGCGTTTTGTAACAAAAGCTTTAAAAATCCTGGGCAACAGACGGAGACGGGCGGGCACTTTGTGGAGGACCACACGGGCAGATCCGGGGGCGGGTGGTAAAGATATGCGTACCCGCC